ACACATAGTGAAGGTGTCGTATGCCTCAGCAATTGGAAGTTTGATGTATGCCATGGTTTGTACTAGACCAGATATTGCTCATGCAGTGGGAGCTGTTAGCAGGTACATGACTAATCCAGACAATGTACACCGGGAAGCAGTCAAATGGATCCTCAGATATCTGCGGGGTACTACAAACAAAGCACTTTGTTTCAAAGGTGGAGATACGATACTGACCGGCTATGTAGATGCTGACTTAGCCGGAAATGTTGACATCAGAAGAAGCACTACAGCTATGAGGTACTACAATGAGTTGGGTTTCTCAACTACAGAAGATAGTTGCTCTCTCCACAACTGAAGCAGAATATGTCGTTGTTACGGAAGCCAGCACGGAGATGGTTTGGCTCTAAAGTTTCTTGGAAGAGTTAGGTAAGAAACAAGAAAGCAATGTCTTGTTTTGCGACAGTCAAAGTGTTATCCATCTAGCGAAGAATCCGTCTTTTCATTCCAGGACGAAACACATACAATTGTGATATCATTTTATCCGATCTCTTCTGGAAGATGGGATTTTGAAACTTGAAAAGATCAGTGGATCTCAAAATCCGGCAGACATGTTAACAAAGACGGTGACTACGAAAAAACTATTGTGTTCAGCTTCAGTTGGCATGCTAGAGTAACAAGACCAGAAATTTTGCTGCATTGATTGAGGTGTAAAGAAAGATCAAAATCAGTCTTCAAGTGGGAGATTGTTGGAAATGAAAGTAAAAAAAGGTGGCAAAATTGGTGGCACAAAATTCCACCGAAAAATTGCACCAATTTTGTCAAAAAGGCAAGCCTCAACTGTTGAAAATGAAAGGGTAAAATCTCATAATTAATCCTTGGACTTTAGGATATTTACAAGATTAGTCCTTAAGCTTTAACTATAAATACCCTAGCTTATTTAGCTGCAAAACCATCCCAAATCATTTCTTTCTCCCAATACTAGAGAGTTTTCTTGTGAGTTGTGAGTGTTTTGTGAACACCTGTAAATTTTGTCTCTTTAGTAAAATATCTGCAACAGTCCAAAGACGTAGGCATAATTAGTTGAACTCCGTTATCAATTTCGGGTATTATTTTTCCGCTTTTATTTCGTATTCTCACTAATCTGGTTATAGGGAAATTACTTGTTTAATTCCCAACAGAATGACTATCGCTAGTAGTTTAACTTGGGTCGTGGAGGTTTGAATATATTTTTTGCTTAATATTTCTTTGCTCACATACGCTCACGAATATGGGATTTTTAGCCCAATAATAATTATGGAGGAATTTATTAATCAATATGACATATCAAAATTTATTTTAAAATCTATGATATTTATTATAGTGAATGATGAATTAATCATATGAAAGTGACGAGTTTTAAAAAAAATATTTTTTTTATTCAAACTCGTCATGTGAGCAGGACGAGCTCCTAAAAATATAATTTTTTATTTAAATTATCACATCCAAGTAACAAGTTCCAAGAAAAAATATATATTTTTAGAACACATCATGTGAATTTTTTTAGTCAATAATAAGTACGGATAAATTTATTAGTCAATATGACAGTTCAAAGTTTATTCTAAAATCTACGAAATTTATTATAGTGAATGACGCATTTATCATGTGGAGGTGAGGAGTTCTGAAAAAAAATATTTTTTTATTCAAACTTGTCATGTGAGCACGACAAGTTCTAAAATATATAATTTTTTATTTAAATCTATCACATCTGTCGACACCGTTTTTCGCTCGGGTAGGGAAAGACCGATACTGACTTGTAGGTTTTTCTTTTGAAAAGAATTTTGAAATGTGAGGAGTAACCATATACAATTGATTTTTTTTTCAAAAATCCTACCTAACTTGTAACCTCGAGGTGACGAGTCCTATAGTGACTGTTGCAATCTGTCTGTTATAACTGCCCGTGTAACAGCTAGAAACAAAAATGTTTTAAAAAAATTCAAGGCAAACTCATCACCTCAAGGTGACGAAATTTGCAGATTTTTTATTTTAATTTTTTTTAGAAAATTTAAAATAAAAATTAATTTTCAACGAGACTCATCACGTCGAAGTAATGAGTACATTTTGAAATAATAAAATATTGGCCCACACAATGCCCACATACTTAATACCATTAAAAAATCATTTCCAACGAAACTCATCACCTCGCGGTGATGAGTTCTAGGTCCATTGTAGGAAATGTCAATTAGACTATCTAACTATTTAATTGTGTTCAATTAAGTCACTAATCGTTAACACTTAAATGAAACATTGATGTGGCAATTAAGAAAACTGACATAATTATATATTTAGTCCTTAATGTTAATATATTCTATCAATTTGGTCCTAATTTAAATTTAATTTAATAAATTAATCATTCAATCAATAACTGACAAATGTCAACACAAGATCATGACACATGTTATTAGTAACACGTTTCATAACTTGATTTGAAGATTTTATTTATTTATTTTAATTTATTTAAATAAATAATTTTTTATCCAACCAAATGGTGACACGTGTCATCATAATGATTTGAAGATTTTATTTATTTATTTTAATTCATTTAATTAAATATTTTTTTATCCAATCAAATCATAACTCATGTCATCGTCAGGTTGGAAGAAAATTAAATTATATAGAAAGTAAATGAGGCTTGAGTGCGGTGCATAGGCAAACTGCAGGTTCGAGGTCGGCGAGGCCTTGGAGAAGGGAGCAACATGGCTGCACCGGGGGTGAACCAACTACGAGATTGACCCAATTAAGAACATTTGCACACACACCTAATTTAAGGGCATTCTTTAGGCATCTTCCTCTTGCAAATGGAGTGGGGGTAGGGTTCGAGTTTGGCCTTGGCCTTGGCCTCGGGTTAGGGTTGGTGGAAGGGCAAGAGTTGTAAGCACTGCCAAGGGAAAAGAAGAGAATGTTGAGTACCAAAAAGAGGGCCATATAAACTGATCTTTTTGAGGCCATTTTGATTTTCTGAAAACCCTAGTTGGCTTAGAGCTAGAAGTACAAGTGTTTGAGGATGGAGAGTTTGGAGTGAAGGGAGAAGGGTTTTTATAGTGTTTTCAAGAGGCCTAGTGGGTTGTTTGTATAATGCTAGATTAATCAATCAAATAGATGGATAATCAAACTGAGCTGCCTGCTGAAAGTTTGGACCTTTGTGATTGTGAGGTGGAAATTATATTATAGCACATTTCCATGTTCCCATTGCTCTTATAGGATCAATCTGCAGACCTGCCTTAGCATTAACTATATGATTTGCATATTTGTTTCTTCCAACTAATAATTCAAAATTATGTTCGGTTATCATTTGTTAGGTCCATTTTTGAGATTTTAGTGGCATGGGAATGGACCTATCATTTATCTGTGTAATTATTCAATCTATTTTTGGTTGGATTAAAATCCATAATTATGAACCTATATTTATAATATATATTGTTATCATAGAATATGACAAAAATTAAGTGACTAATAATGTTATAAAGTTATAAGGTATTAGAAGTGTCATGGAAATAAAAGTGAAGATATTGTAAAGTTGCATTTATAATTCGATGAGGGACAGAGTTATAAGTATAGACAATAATTGATTCCTAAATCAACTATATAAAGGGTTATGGTCCCAAGAAATAGACAATCTTGTATTACTCTTATTCCGTCAGAGAATTTTTACGGCAAGAGCGAACTTATCTTCTTGGAATACCACAACCAAATAAAGACTCAAATATCTCAACCTATCAATTAATTCAGGTATACTTCTGCAAATCTATTTATATAAATAGAATTTTTACGACGTTATTTTTTTCTATTAAGTGACACATGTCATAATCTGATAATTTTAAAAAATTTATATAAATTAAAAAAATAAAATTATATATTTAAAAAAACATAAATTTTGAAATAGCCCCTAAACTTTGAAAACCTTCATTTCAACCCCTAAACCCACACCGACCGCCGCCTTTTCTATCGAAGAAGCTCCACCCGACCTCCCCTCTCCCTAGTGACCATAACCCTTATGAAATCGTGATCGGTTGACTAATGATCAACGACAAATCAACGTTTAAAATCACGCGAACCCTAGGATGAAAATCACGATCTCATGCTATTCCAATGGTGAATCGACAACAACTACATCAACATATAACTAGGATGATGACAAAGTCTACGTCGACGGTGGTGGTCGTGGCCTGCAACAGTGAATTAAGGTTAGGATTTGGGATTGTTTTATAATATAAGAAAAGTTAGGGTTTTTTATAAATATAATAATATTTTAAAAAAATCAAAATTATCAAGTTGTGACACATGTCACTTAACAGAAAAACAAACGTCGTTGACGGCCCGAACATCTAAAGTGTTAATATTTGTAACGTTAAGCACCCGGAGGGGCAAAAAAATGCATGCAATTATTTGGCACAAAAGGTATAGTTTGAGCACTTATATGGGCATTAAGCCATGATTAAATATAAAATTAAATCTTTATTTACTCACTAATATTGAACTGTTATCATATGATTTTAGTCTCCAAACCAGCTATTACTCAAGTAGTGTATACAGCTGGAAGAATTAAACTATGACAATAATTCTGGGGATTCATTAATATTCAAAGTACAACGTTAGCTAATCAAAACTCGGTTGCATCAAAGTTATGTTCTGTTTTATAATGTTAATTTAGCACGATTTCTTAGGTGGAATTGGATATGTCTACTCCGAAGAGTCAAGATATTGTCTTAATTAATCAAAGTTGCAAGAAGATTTTGTGTTTACATTTTAATTATTTTATGATCAAAATCACATTCCCTTCCCTTGTACGGATTGAAGTAAGCAAATTGCAGTTATTTCAGACCACGAGAATGGTTCAGAGGGGTTTGAATTATCTGTTCTTAAGGCTAATTACAAACCCTAAATCTTCCGATTCAGCTGAGCTACATTCACACTGAATTGAGGTGAAGTTGATGAAGAGTTGTTGATTCGTTTATTGCTAAAATATAAAATCCATGGCCATATATATAACTAACTTTAGGCATCTTATTGATAAATGGATAAAGAAACAAGAAGGATCATAATTAAATACAATGTCTTTTCATGTTCCTTAGAGATACAACAGAAATCTCCAAGGACACTTGAAGAAAAGTATTAGACTTATTCAACATCACTTCCCAGTAGGAGATTATAGCAACAATCGAATACCCTGATTTACTGAAATTTATGGAAACCGTGACAAAGATGAAGATACCGAAAACTGAGAATTTAGCATTGGAAGCCAGTACTCCTTCCGCAAACGTTGAGAAGCAAGCTAAGTGAAATTGGGATATTAAGGTTGAGGCCCAACACGTTTGCTCTGAGTGCGGTGCATAGGCAAACCGCAGCTTCGAGGTCGACGAGGCCTTGGAGAAGGGCGCAGCATGGCTGTACCGGGGGTGAACCAACTACGACATTGACCAAGTTAAGCACATTGGCACAGACACCTAATTTAAGGGCATCCCTGGGGCATCTGCCTCTTGCAGATGGAGTTGGGGTAGGGTTGGGGTTCGGCCTCGGATTAGGGTTAGGGTTGGTGGAAGGGCAGGAGGTGCAAGCACTTCCAAGGGAAAAGAAGAGAATGTTGAGTGCCAAAAAGAGGGCCATGGAAGCTGATCTTTTTGAGGCCATTTTGATATTCCCAAAATCTTACTTGGCTTAGAGCTAAAAGTACAAGTGTTTAAGGATGGGGAATATGAAGGGAAGGGAGAAGGGGTTTTATAGTGTTTTCAAGAGGCTTGGTGGGTTGTTTTTATAAATTATAATGTTTGGTTAATGAATCAAATGGAAGGATAATCATATTGAGCTGGCTGGTGAAGTTTGGAACTTTGTGATTGTGAGGTGGAAAATATATTATAGAACATCGCCATGTTCCAATTTCTCCTATAGGATCAATCTGCAGATCTTCCTTAGCATAAACTATATGATTTACAGATTTGTTTCATCCCAGTAATTTTTCTTATTCTTTAAAGTCTTAGGTTCGAGTATCGGGAATACATGAGGTGTGAACGTTTAATATCAATTGATTGAGAATTATCTTTGAACAAATACTATCTTGTACTTACTACATGTTATCCATCCCAATAATTATATGTGAAGACAAAACATTTTTGGTACGTAAAGACAAAACAGAATAATCAAGGAGGGTAACTAAGCTTGCCAAACCTTCATGTTCTTCCATTATCTTCTAAAGATTCATTCACATTAGTTTTCGATATATATATATATATTATGCAATAAATTTAAAATTATTTTCTAATTGGACTTGGCTGGCGTGTCACGGGCCTGTTAGAACCAACCTTTTCTTCACGCTATTACAATATTTACGTAATAAAAAAATCTTATTCTTATATGATTATTTTATATATGTTGATATCAAGTTCTTCCATTCTGTTGAGACAGACATGTTTAGCGTTATGGTGCTACTATCATTTTGTTGTCAACATAAAAAATGAGTTGATTTTTATTCAGAAAAATGAGTTGATTTTTAATAATTAATGGGGCTAATTCAATGGTAGCCCTTGATACACCAGTCTAGATATTTATATGTTTTTTTTTTGTTAAAATGAGTTACTCTGTTGTCCAGGATATACTTACGATCTAATTAGAATTTATATAGAAATTTATAGGTTACCTAAAAAAATGACGGAGATAATTTTCGAGATATTTATATGTTATACTGTACGACAAAGTAATAACACATATAATTTATACAAGTATGAATTTTTATTTGGGAGTAGGGATTGATAACTTATAATATAATTTTAAATGTGTAAGGCTAAAAAGTTACGTGATAAATTTTTTTAAATTAAATTATTTATAATTTGTAAAGGCAAAAATGAAAAATTATTGAATAACTAATATATAAAAATCATATATTACCAATGAATTGAATGTAAAAGAAGAAATCATCCCTAACAAGAAATCATCCCTAACTGCAATTATCACTACAAAAAAATTGTTTTTAGTGGCGTTTTTGGACAAACGCCACGTTATCCGAATATATAGTGGTGTTTTTGTGAAAACGCCGCAAAAACGCGTACCTTAGTGGCGTTTATTAAAAAACGTCGCAATATCTGAATATATAGCGGCGTTTTTGTGAAAATACCGCTAAAACGCGTATTTTAGTGTCATTTATGTAAAAATGTCACAATATCCTAATATATAGCGGCGTTTTCAAAAAAAAAACACCACTAAAACGTGTACTTTAGTGGTGTTTATGTATAAAATGCCGTAATAGCTCAGATATATAGTGACGTTTTTGTAAAAACGCCGTTATAAACTTGTACAATATTGGCGTTTTTAATTAAAACGCCGCAAAATCACGTACATTAGTGGCATTTTTGTCGTCGAAACCCGATGATGACCCAAAAGGAACTCATATTGCTCCATACCCTTCCATGGCCAATCTCCTACTTCAAGGCAATAATCTCTGAATCTTTCCGCAACTATATTTTTATTTTGTTCTCTAAAATTTCATAGATCCGCAGGATATACGAAGCTTATTGAGAACGATGATAGAGTAGTGGATAAATACCCCTTGTTTAGAACCGGATTGGGGAGATCTGTGACGTTGAAAGAATCTTCAATTGCAAAAGCATTATCTATCCTCGATGAAGATGATGTTGCCTATACTGTTACTCCAAGTAAACACTTCTTTCTTTTACTTTAATTTTATTTTGTTTAATGTTTGATTCAGTTCCCAAGCCACCTCCAATCAAGTTTCATATTGTAGGTGGAAGGTCGTTATCTGTTTCAAGTGAAGCACGCAAGGAGTATTTTTGGTGAACCGGAGCTAGGGGATTTATTTGGTGAAAATGATGAAGAGCTTCTCCATATATAGTTTACACGGAGGAAAAACTTAACGATGCTTCATCAAACAAAGAAAATTGTTTTTTTACTTCCTTTCCCGATGAAAGAGCAATGAATACTACATTCTAGACCTTCTATGTCAAACTACATTACATTTAATTTTAGTGTTTATAAATTTTAATTTATTTTGTTGTTAAGTATTTTTCTGCATAACTTGTGTCTTAATTAAAATGTACAGTTGTTGTTAATTAGATAAAGCTACATGATATTAAATTTAGGTGATGTCGAGTAGAAATGAAATATGCAAAATCAATTAATCTAAGCTAATGAATGGTAATTAGCGGCGTTTGTTCCAAAAACGCTGCTATAGATATGACCTTTTACGACGTTTGTTCTTAAAACGCCGCTATAGATCTGACATTTGCGGTGTTTGTTCTAAAAAACGCCGCTATAAATCTGACCTTCTGCGACGTTTGTTCCAAAAACGCCGCTATAGAGCTTGACCTTTTGCGGCGTTTGTTCCAAAAATGCCGCTATAGATCTTGACCTATTGTGGCATTTTTTGTTCTCAAACGCCGCTAACTTTAGCGGCCTTGGTATGGTCGGCGCTTCTTGCGACGTTTTTCCTATCGCCGTAAGTGCTTTTAGCGGCGCTTAAAAATGTCGCTAAAGAACTTAAAAAAACACCACTGAAACACGGTTTTGTTGTAGTGTATTTTCTTTGGTCTTCTTGTGGAATCACAAATGTCAAAAAGGGAATATAGCTAAAGAGTTTTTTCCTTTGTTTATATTAATATTTAAAAAGGGTAAACTACAAATGACCCTCCAACTATAAGGTGTTGTTTTATTAAATCAATTGACCATTAAAAGTTACAAAATAGTCCTTCAACTATAGAATGCTATTTTGTTAAGTCTCTCGACTATTAAAAGTTACAAAAATAATCACCCGACTATTTATTATGTTCCAAACTCGTCATTTTCCGTAAATGATAGCTGACTAAGCTGGACATTAATGTGATGGTTGAAATATGATAATCGTTTGAGATTTTGGGATAATATTTTATCATATCACAGTCAGCAGACTAATGTTCAGCTCAGAATACTGTCATTTTTTAAAGAAAATGACGAGTTTGGAACATAATGAATAGACGGGTGACCATTTTATAATTTTTTATAGTTTAGTGATTTAACAAGGCAATACTCTATAATCAAAGGAACATTTTGTAACTTTCAATGGTCGAGCAGTCGAGGGACACAATAAAACAATATCCTATAGTCGTAGGAACATTTGTATACTTTACCCTATTTAAAAATGATCAATTTAACATTGAAATAAATTTATAAACATTCCCATGAGATTAGGAATTGTTAATTGCAATGGTAGGTTCTAATCTCGCCCGTGACACACCAGTCGAATCCAGCTAGATAGTTTCCATTGGGAACATGCCAAGGTTTCCTCCTAAAAATGCCTTTTCCAACTAAGGGTTTGCTTGCAGCACTTATCAACCACCCCATAATACTATAGAATATAAAGCAAGCCATATACCAACAAAATCAACCATCTCATATGCTTCAGATTCCATACCTTATTTTATAAAAAGAGTTGTGTACCATCAAATTTGCCAACAAAATCCAATAAGATGTACATCTTAAGAATTTTTACGGGACGGTTTGTAATTTATCTCTGTACAAAAGCTAATAATTCATTAATTTGTAACTTTTTTTGGTGCAAAACTTATTGTTTATTGTAAATAGGGTTTGTGGTTTTAACCATATAAAAATTATAAATTTAATGGAATAATATTTTATCGTTTACAATTATAAAGATAAACTAGAAAGATTGAAACACGTCAAATATCATTATCTTAATAAAATTAATTTTAATCTCGTATTAATTATATGGGTAAATTACATATTTAGTACTTAAATTATCAGTTTTGGTTTGTTTTTTTACCTAAACTTTTAATTTTTTTAAAATTATACCTAAAATTTACTTTTTGTTTCATTTTATTACCCGTTGGTTAAAACTTTAGTTAAATTTGTTTATTTTAGTACACCGTTCAAAATTTAACATTAAGTTTTGAAAAGATTGAAAGTTTAATTAGGTACTAAAACGAACCAAAAAACTAATAGTTTAAGTACTAAACGTGCTAAGTTTTTAACGATGTGGTATTAAAATGAAATGAAAACTAAATGTTATATATGATTTTTTAAAAATTAAAAATTTAGATACTAAGACAGATCAAAACTAATAAATTAAGTACTAAATGCTTTGTTTACCTAGTTATATTTCCTTCACAAATCTCAATAAATCTTTAGATTATAATGACCAAAGAATGAGAGGTTTTGACAAGCTAAATAATTGTTTTGAATCTGTAATCCACTTTGTCTTTGCTACGTAGTCTAAGTCATAACTGTCTTCCTAATTTGGAAGAACGTGGAACAATGAGGGTATTCATTTTAAGTAAATGTATAAACGAATTTAATAATACCATTATCTAACAAAAGGAGCCCTAACTAGGCATTAAATATCTACATTTATTTTATGGAATTAAAATTTAGAGTTTAAAGTAAATAAAAAACAATTTATTAATAATATTATCTTTTAAAATATAATTACTTTTTTTTTATTTTCTTTTTGTGTTGATTATATTTCGATCCATAAATCTCGGCCAATGACGGATGAAAGTATGGTATAAGACGGACAAGTGTTCATCTTGAATTTTTAAATTATTTTTTATTGATTATGTCCATCTTAAAGTATTATTTGTGTTTATGTTAATATAAAAATTTTATATTGTTAATATATTTATATTAATGATGTGAAATGATTAATATATTTATATCTACCTTCAAAATTATTTTTCCATTATTCATACGATAATTAATGATGTGAATTTTGAATCTCTAATCCATTTTGTCTTTGCTTAGCAGTCTAAATTGGAACTATGTATCCTCCTATTGCGGAAGAACGTGAAATAGTGGAGATATTTATTTTAGGTAAATGATTAAACCAATTTAATAATATTATTATCTAACCTAACGATGTTTTAATTATTTAGGTTTAAGTTCAGTTATACGTAATAACATTTGTGGATTCTATCTTATATTTGTAAAAAAAAAATCTATATTTGTTATTTAGAATTATAATTATTGGAATATATATATTATTGTAACGCAGCTGTAATTATATTTATAAACTTAAGGGTAAATTACAAATTTCATTGTTGAACTTTACCTTTTCTCTTATTTTGCTCACTGAACTTTAATAGTTTTCAATTTTCACACTGAACTTGATATATTGAGTTTTGTTTGTCATTAAACTTTACTATGTCTCCTATTTTGATCACTCTGCTGTTAAATTGTTAACGGCTTTAAAAATGACGCCATTTTAAAATAATAAAAAAATCACCAAAAATGATGTCGTTTTGTATTTATATAACTACCCATTTTAACGCCGTTAACTATTTAACATATATTAAGTCCAGTGAGGATATTGAAAAGATTTAAAGTACGGTGAGTGAAATAGGAGAGAGAGAAAAGTTCAATTACCAAATTTGTAACTTACCCTAAACTTAAATATAGTAGTGGGTTTGTTATTATTAGTTAGAATATGGAATCTGAACTCTATAGTTCGTACAGATCCACAAATTGATCCTATTGGAGAGTAGGAACATGGCATTGTGTTATTTTCTACCTCAATATCACAAGCATCCAAGCTTCACCGGCCATCCCAAATTTCCATGAGAAATCAAAGTGATTTAACCTAACATTAAAACAACCACCACCACCACCCTAAACCCTCTTGAAACAGTATAAATACCCTCTCCCTTCACGCCAAAATTCACATCCTCAAGCACTTATAACTCGTAGGGTTTTGAGAGATCAGCATGGCATCAACAAGATCACCTTCCATGGCCCTCTTTTTGGCACTCAACATCCTCTTTTTTCCCTAGGCAGTGCTTGCAACTCCTGCCATTCCACTAACCCGAATCCAACCCCCACTCCATCTGCACTAGGCAGATGCCCCAGGGATGCCCTTAAGTTAGGTGTGTGCGCGAATGTGCTTAACTTGGTTAATGTTACTGTCGGTTCACCCCCGGTGCAGCCATGTTGTGCCCTTCTCCAAGGCCTCGTCGACCTTGAAGCCGCCGTCTGCCTTTGCACCGCTATCAGAGCTAACATACTAGGCATCAACCTTAATATCCCAATCTCCCTTAGCTTGCTTCTCAACGTTTGCTCAAGGAATGTTCCTACTGGCTTCCAATGCTAGATCCCCATTCTTTCACTATCTTTTTCATAGTTTCCACTTGTTTTCGTTTGTAATTAAGTTTGTTGTTTTCATTTCCTTGATACTGAATAAGTCTAAATACTCTTCTTCATGTGTTTTCCTTTGTGCTTTTTGTATCTCTTTAAGGGACATGAAAAGACTTGTATTTGCCAACTTATATCATTTCCTCACTTGTTTGCTTTACATTTGTGTTTGTATTATTCTCTAAACTTGTTGAATATCACATATTTGTCCAGTTTTCTTTACATTTCGTTAACTATTAATATTCAGAATATTTTTTTTTATATTTTGTATTGATAATATATTTTTATTCCTTAAAATTTTAAAATTTTATCGTTATACAAAAAAATCAAGTGTTGGTTTCTATTCACTATCAAGCTTTGACCACCATCAAGCTTTGACCACCATCAGTCTCTTCATCATTGCTTTAGCGAGTAAATCTGCTGATTTCGTTCGTTTATATATTTATTTCTATTAAATAAAATAAGGATCTAATAAAAAAATATAGATAGAGAAGTATTATAGTAATTATACATAAATATATTAAAATTAATTATACTGTTATTTCTATATTAGATTATATTGAATATTTTTCACCCTAAATATAAACTTGAACTGACTATATTTCAATTTTTCTTTAAAAAAAATTGATCTTATAGATTTAGGGTCAAAATCCATCAAATTTAATATTTATCCCTACATTTGTCTACTTCGTAAGGGTTTATATATGTTTGATTGTTACCTTAATTAACAATACAATAAACTCAAATAAGTGGTTTAGTTGAAATAAATATTCATTTTGACTCAAAAATATTTTATTGAAATACACTTTTCATAATAGTAAAGGATAAATTATACAAGTAGTATTTAAACTATAAGTTTTTTTCCATTTTAGTACTTAAACTTTCAGTTTTTTCAAAATAATATCTAAACTTTAGTTTTTGTTTCATTTTAATATCCGGTTCAAAATTTATGCCAAGTTTTGAGAAAAATTAAAAAAAATCAGTACTAAAATAAAGTATTTTTGAGTCAAAAATGAATATTTATATGAATTAAACCACCGAAGTCAAATGTCAATCCCTAGCCACAGAGAGCCACTAGTGAATACAGGGCAGAGACGATTCAGTTTGACAGAGCAGACAAATCAAACATCAGAACTACTCGAGACTCCCTTGGCCGCTTTGTTTATCGTTTTCATGAAGTCGTCCCATATGCCGAGCTCCCACTCGAATAAAACTCTTCTAACTTCAATCGTACCCATTTTTCATTGATTTTGGATCTAAATTCACCCACCTTACCAACCTTTTTAATCGCCACCCCATAAATTCTAGGTAAAGCTTCTCTAAAAAATGGGATTTCAGTCCGAAAATCCTCCCATATATATTTTTCATTCTAAACATTTAAGTCACAAATGATCATTTCCTAAGCTGCTATATTGCTGGTTTATGTATTAACCAGGTTCTCCTCAATCTTCCAAAGAGCTGAGACCAATTTTCTCAAGCTGCATAGGCCAATCTTCTCCGAGTACCTGTGGATTCATCTCCATTGCAGCAGAAAAGTCTGCATTGATATGTAAAAAGATCTTTCTGATTGTTGCAGGTAATTCTGAGGTAACATTCGAGACCTTAACCCTGCTGCCAGTCTTACAGGGAACTCGAGCAATCTTTCATATATGCATCCAAGCCATTATTCAGTAGGTTAACACAATCCAGTGAAAAACTTATTCCTTCCGTCTGTAACTTCTTCTGCAGATGGCTTTGTAATGATCTCGTATCCTGTAGCTCACTTTTAGTTTGACAGGTCAGTTGGAAAAATAAACTGCCGCAAAATGAGGCCTTAGCACTGACTGAAAAATATTAAATAAATAATATATGTAAAAAACTGATTAATCGTGTTATGGTATTAATTACTGTCTTATAAACGAATTTATCCCTGTAATCGCTACAATAGATGAATAACCCCCGATGTTAACATGACTATCCAAATTTCGTACACCCGAAAAATGGAACGGACTTGATGGTATTACTCTTCTCTCAACTCAAGGGAACACTCTATGAGAGTGTTTCTAAGGCAAACAATTGCGTTTTGGATATCTCAAAATGAATTAAATTACCCACTATTTATAGACTAAATAATGAGGGTAAAATCGTCATTTTAAAAGCACAATTTAATTCTATTAAACATAGAATTAAAATCCTTAAAAAAACAGTTACAAATTGTGCATTGCTAATAATATATCGGGGTGGTAACTACTATACGAGAAAGCATTTGGAAGTGTTTTACGAGCTCCACCGAAATTTATGGAGATACTAAGAGGAGCTGTAACAGGAGTTTTACTCTGAACACCAGGGCTTCCAGCCGCCTGTTCGACCTCTTCCCCATCTTCCACGGATTCAACATCACAAGGTCTGTACCAAGCGAAAGCAATTCAGTTGCACTCTGGTCTTGCACCTTGGAAACGGACACAGATGCTTTAGCACACCAAGTTTAGTTTAAAAAATTAAATAAATTGAAGGCCCAAATTTTAAAAATATAAAAGAGTTAGGAGTAAGCTCAAAATTTGACCTTAAAAGAGTCATTTACAATCCAATTACCTTGGAGTCCGCCATATAAATACTCAAACTTTCCGAATAAACAGAACTCCACCGCCAAATCTAGGGTTTTAATTAGCTGCCGAGCCTCCATTTGCCCCTCAGAGCATTGATCGACGAGCTGTTAATTGACAATGGGTCACTCAAACGTCTGGAACTCTCACCCCAAAACCTACGGCCCTGGATCTCGCGCCTGGTAATTACTTCTCTTTAATTTTTTTGGCACGTACATATGTTGAAGGAATGCAATGGAAGTTTAGTTTGTTGGAAATTTTCAGTTCCTGCATCGAACGAATTAGAATGTTATTATTTGCGTCTTAGAGTTTTAACGACAGCGAATCTGCTTGAGTTGAGGTTATTTTGTATAATTTTAGTGTAGCATGTAGAAGTATTCTGCTATGATTCTTGTAAACAACGACTTAGAATTTGTTTGTTTTCTTATATAGCCGTGTGTGTGGAAACCCCCACGCCATTATTAGGAAGTATGGGCTCATGTGCTGCAGACAGTGCTTCCGCAGCAATGCCAAGGAAATCGGATTCATCAAGGTAAAACTAATACTCTTGCAATTTACTCGTCTTATCAGTGTTGTTAAGACTTAAGAGCAAAAGAGCATAATCCATTCAAGGTGTTGGAGCTATTATATTGCCTTTACTAGCTCGAGGCTCAAAAGAAATGCTAGCTTGAGTGTGAATTAAGGCGCAATATGCACCTTTTTTAGGTGTATCCCTATGTAATATATAACCATGATAATAAACTCTAAAATTTGTCAAACTTTTCCACTAAACATGAAAATATTCATTTTGTTTTGTTAGCCATGATTTCCTTACGGTCCTGTGTTTATCGGTGGATCCTTAAACAATTAAAAGTGCAGAGCTTGGTAAGTTGGTATTATCCCCTTAATTGTAAATGTACATCTAAATAGCTAATGAAGAAGCTAAAACTGAAAGAAATTGAAGAAAGCTTATATTTGTGGTGCTCAATTGCATCAGGTGTGTGTGCCTAATAAAATGCCTCTTTTCGAAAAGAGAGTAATTTGCTTTTGTTGTATGAAGTTAAGTTGCAAGGCCCTTGAAAACATGCTCTGATGGTTGATATTATCTTGATCTTTATGACTTTTCATACCAGTAATTTATCAACCTTTTGGTTTTCATCTTGCAGTACCGCTGAAGAATTTGTCTGGTGTGAAGTAGGAAGGACTTTGTTGAAGTATGAACTATCGATAGTATGTTTTCTTGTTTGAAGGTACCTTAAGTTGACGTTTTGGGTTTTGATTAATTTAGTATGAACCTTAAAGTGGTTGTTTAACGAAGAATACTTGGTCGTTTCTCAGTGATTCCATTGTTTTAATGGTTACATGACATTGGTATCTCATTATGCAAGGTTTGAATTCTATCTTTTTCTCGATTATATAAAAATATTTTAAAAGAATTCAAATTTAACATTTGAATACAACAATATTCAAATATACGATGTTAAAAACTGATAAATTAGGATAATAAATGAGTTTAAATTAGAAAAAGAAAATCAAGAGATGGCAAGGAATGTAGAGATTCACAGGGGAGGATTATAATGTTGATGCACTTATGTTGAATTCAAAGGTAGATGCCAGGTTCACTTGCTGAAACGGAAGCACCGATGTTTGTTTTTCTCTCAATTTGTGGGCCTTCATAGTGATTACTTATAATGAAAGCACATGTTACTTGGACTCTGTTTTAGTTGCGGTACAAATACATATATGACATGGTATGTGGAGTTTTCGGAAAGTCATATCTCTACACCCATTAGATGCAAGGGGCAGCTCTAAGTTTTCTTTTGTCGAACATTCTCTCTTTTGTTCCAGAAATATCATCGGAATGCATTGTCAGAATGCATCGTTTAGAACATGGGATCATCGGAGTGCATTGTTGGAATGCATCGGTTAGAGCAATGGAACATCGGAATTCGGTCACCGATCAAGTTGACGTTGCTAAGGCCAATATTGAAACTGTTTTCCATCCTTGAGGGACAAGTAAGATTCAAAAACTTAAATGTTTCGAAGGTAATTGAATCAGTAGTGCACGTAATTCGTGTCACAAACTTATATCTCATACTCACGTCGGACATTCTAATAGCATAACTACGGAAAATCGGTTCTAATTCGATTCTTCCTCGATTCTGATCATTTACCTGTCTGCAATTCTCACTACATGCTTGTTAGAAAGATGAAATCCGGTCGACTAAATTTTGTTATAATCGGTGAATGTATATGCGTTATTTGAAGCATGGGCCGTCTTCGACAATGACATGTCTGGTTCACTACTAGGAGCAGCCGAAGCATTCCAGTCTCTTCTTCCAATCACCGGGAAAGCATTAATAAGTAGGGGTGTTCGCGGTCGTTTTAGATCGGTTTTTGGCTAAAAATTCATTCGATCCGAAAGTATAAATGTTTGCGGTTTGGATCGGTTTGAATGTTTCTAAAAAAACCCGATCCTATCCAATTAAGTGCGGCTTGATTCGGTTTGGATTTGTGTGGTTTTTGAATTCTAATTTTTCAAAATAATTCTTGAATTTTTTTCATAAAAAAACAGCATATGTATAACAAAAGCAAAGAGAATATATATTTTAATAAATGCAAGCTTGTGACCCTCATACTTTTAAAAAAAAATCGATGTGGCCTTCTACTTTTTTTACACCCAATGTGACCCTCCAAGTAAAAAAAAACTCAATGTGGTCCTTTGACTATCGTTTACCGTTGTTGAACAACGAATCTGATATTTTGTGCTGTTGTTGCACGTTAAGCAGGCCAACATCCTATTTTTTTCTCTCAATCTGACCCTCCAACTCAAGAAAATAACTCAATATGGCCCTCCTTTTTTCTCTTCTATTTTGGTCACTAAACTTTAAAAGTTTTCAATTTAATCACTCAACTTTTGAATTACTCCTATTTTAATCATCATGATTTATTTTATTAATATTTATGTATGATGTGGCATTTATTATTATTATTATTTTATTAATATATGATTAAAATAATATTAATTAAATTAAAATTTTAAAATTATATTGAAATAAAAAAATATTCCCAAAATTATAATTAATTTAAAAAAGATTATCTACTTTATATATTTCCAAATCTCCACTCTCCTCTATCATCTCATTTCATTTTTCTTCCTTTTCAACCAAATATTTCTTTATTCTTTCATTATCCGATCAAGTAGCTCATCCCGATTTTTTCAATTTTTTTTACAAGTTCAATATGAGTTCATTAATGGAAGGAAAAAAAACTTTGGTTGAAAAAGATGTCACATCATACATTAATATTAATAAAATAATTCATGATGATTAAAACATGAGTAATTCAAAAGTTGAGTGATTAAATTGAAAAATTTTAAAGGTTAGTGACCAAAATAGAAGAAAAATAAAAAGGTCAGATTGAGTTATTTTCTTGAGTTGGAGGATCAGGTTGAGAGAAAAAAAATAAGATATCATATCAACACAAAATAACGAAGCAGTTGGTTAACAACGAAAAACGTTCGTCAAAAGATCACATTGAATTTTTTCCTAATTTAGAGGGTCACATTAGGTGTAAAAAAAATAGAGTGTCGTATTGTTTTTTTAAGTACAAAGACTTTGGTGGCGTTTGGTTGGCATGAATCCTTTAGAATTAGTGGGAATTGAAATCCAATTCCACCACTTTCCCATGTTTGGTTCAAGTTTTCAAAGGAAATTGGAATCTCTCATGATTTCAACTTTCCATCAAATGAGGGAAAGTGTAATTTATCCAAGAATTGATGGAATTGAAATTTGACCATACTACCCTCATTAATCTTTTGGTAACTTATTTATATATTGAATAAAAATATTTTTTATTATTTCGGGTCGGGTCGGGTTTCTAATTCATATATCGGGTCGGGTGAAACTTTATTTTGGTCGGGTCGGGTCGGTTTTTTTAAGTGTGATATTCGGGTCGGGTCGAGTTCAGGTTTAGGGTGAAAAATACCCGACCCGAAAATATATATAATTTTATCTTATATATTTATGAATAATTACAATAATACCCCTCTATATATAATTTTTTTCAATTAAGTCACTGTCTTTATTGAATAAAAATATTTTTTTATTATTTCGGGTCGGGTCGGGTCGGGTGAAACTTTATTTTGTTCGGGTCGGGTTTTTTAAGTGTGATATTCGGGTCGAGTCGGGTCGGGTTTTTTTAAATGTGATATTCGGGTCGGGTTCGGTTTAGGGTGAAAAAACCAGACCCGACCTGAAAAAATATATAATTTTACCTTATATATTTAGGAATAACTACAATAATACCCCTCTCTATATATTTTTTTTCAATTAAGTCAATGTTTTTATTGAAAAATAATAATTTTATTATTATTTCGTGTCGTGTCGGGTCGGGTTTCTAATTCATATATTGAATAAAAATAGTTTTTGGTATATTTTTTTTAACTAATTAACATACTCCGATTAGAATATATCTAAATATTGCTCTATCTTTTGGTAACTTATTAACATATTTTGATTGAGATGATTTTAACTTATGATGTTTATTATCATGATTTTTACAATTTATTAAAATGAATAATCAATCAATAAAATGAAAATTTAATATTTTTTAATTTTTTATAATATATTACTACATGTAAATTGTAAAATAAACAAAAAAAGCAAAAAAAAAGGTAATTCTGTAATTTTATATTATTAAAATCAAATTGATCTGACATGTCTACTAACCAAACAGAATATGAAATTAGATTTCAATTCCATTTTCTGCCAACCAAGCAGAATATAGAATTGGATTCTAATTCCTGACAGATTCTAATTCCTTCACAGATTCTAATTTTCTCAGAAACATTCTAGCGAACCAAACGCCACCTGTACTTTTTTACCTCAAATAAATAATTTATATATAATATACGGACTAATAATTTAATTCGACCTAAAAAATATTTATAACAGAAAATGTGAAAACGGAGATTCGATGTAAGTTATCGTTCCCAAAAGATTCATAAGCTAATCAAAGTTTCAGTGTATAAAATCAAATTTGCCTTATTCATTTCAATTCAGATCTTTCTTTCTCTGTTTTCTTTCTTTCTTCTTTGACTTATTCTTATGCTTCATCTTAAACCCTAGCTAATTTCCACCTTAATTCATTTCTAAAATCTGTTACGGAATCGAATTTATCAGGTAATTCAATCCCGTGTCTTATAGCTTCTCTATGCAATGGTGGTCTGCAAATGCCGCAAGGTATTATTTCTTTAATCAATCTGTATCAAATCTTTGATCACTTGAAGAAACTGTTTGCTACTATTAGCGTTGAAGATTTATACTTCTTGCTGGTGATTTTTATTATTGTTATTATGATTTCTTTTTCTTGAGAAATATGTGTTGGAATTAATAATTCATCACTGGAAGTTTTAGATCTATCAGAATTTTTTTCCTATCATCTTAAAGAATTTAGCGTTTTGCTTCAGATCTTCGTTTTCTTAATTGTATGACTTATTAATTGGAAATGAGAATTTGAAATGAATGAATCGAACAGGGGGATACTAACCTTTATGTTTATAGGTTCAAGTGGAATGTTGATTGTTACGTTATGATATGAATTTGCTTTTTTTTTTTTGAGAATTATGTGATGGAAATTATATTACATCGCTGGAGGTTTTAGATCTACCGAAATTTTTGTTCATCATCTTAAAGAATTTAGGACTCTTCAAATCGAACATATAGGGATGTTGACCTTGATATTCAGAGGGTTAGGTGGAATGTAGCTTGTTGGTATTAAGTTTCCAGTATGTATTGGTCTAGGATAAAGTTTAGAGCTGATGCTTGGTTGAAATCAAGATATAAGATATCTTTGTTTTTCATCTATAGAATTTAGGACTTTAAGATCTTTTTTTCCTAAATTTTGGAGTTTATTACTTGGAAATGGTGAATTTGATTACTTCAATGAATGAAACGAACAGAGGGGAACATTGTTGATCTTTGTAGCTTGTTATGTTATGAATTTACTAACTTGTGTTGCATAGGATAAAATTTAAAGCTGATGTTATTTGGTTGAGATCTAGGTTTGCAAATATCTCATTATGTAAATATCCGTTTGTCCTTTCGGTGTTTCAGGCGACAAAGTTATATTGTTTCGTGCACAAGGTCCCTGTCTGTGGAGAATGCATCTGTTTTCCTGAACACCAAATATGCGTGGTAAGTGATAACATGTTGTTCATTTTGCACCAAATTGGCTGTGCTTCAGCGACTATGAGAAAACAAGGGAGTGAAAATGATAATAATCCTATTTTTACCTGGAAAAGTAGGGGTGGCAGTTTCTGTTGGGGGCTTTTTTGCAGAGTTGAACTCCTTGTAGAAACAAACTCTGGGTCATTAACTGAATTTTGGTTGATGCACAACCTTTCTGCAACCATATATCTTGGTATATGTTTGATTAGTTAATAAAATTATATTTACTTTATGGTAATCTCTACGTGCAATTTTCTAAGTTATATGCAATATCACGAAAAAAGCTTTTGTGTAATGTGAATATGCCCATTTCTGCTCTGTATATTTAACATTATTATAAGACAATTTCAAATTGAGTATTGTATAGAATGATGCTTTGTAGCTTACAATGTATTTTTCTTTCCACTTTGCTCTAGATTCGTACTTACTCAGAATGGGTAATAGATGGAGAGTATAACTGGCCTCCCAAGTGTTGCAAATGCCAAGCTGTACTTGAGGAGGGGGCTGGCTCTGAAACTACTCGGTTGGGTTGCTTAGGTATGTGTTTATGCTGATGTGGATACCGCCTCTAGTTTTATTTTTATTTTATTTTTGTCGGGGAGGGGGGGATTGCAGAAAGCAAGTTTGACTTGCGATGTTTAATCTTATTGTATATTTTTGCTTCTCTAGATGTCCTCCACACAAATTGCTTGATTTCACATATCAAAAGCTTTCCTCTGCACACTGCACCTGCTGGTTATACTTGTCCTTCATGTTCTACATCTGTAAGTTTTCTAATCACCGTCAATCAGCTGTTTCCTAGCAACATGCTTATATTTAGTATTGTTCCAACTGATAAATATGAGTTCGCAAAATTAATGATGACACTATTCTTGAACCTTTTAAGTAGTTGGAAGCATCTAGATGCTAAATGTGTTTATGCTTGAAAACATTGATGGATAACTGATGGTTAACAGTGATAAAAACTATTGTGATGCTGCTTGCTTCTGCTTTTGGAACTAGTCATATGAGTAGTCGGTGGAGTAACACCTTGCTGATTAGCATTTTTCTGATATTTTCACTATATTTATTTGAAAATTTTCCATGGCATAATGGAAGCAGAGGTTGATGTTAATAATGGAACAAAATGTAAATGGTATTATCTCATATGTGAGAAGAATCCTGATTATCTGTTACGTAAGGAATAAGGACTCAAGACTGTAGATTTCTTGTGGCATTCCTCGATTTGTTAACTGATTGATATGCTTATATTCTAGCTATTATTTAGATGGTCTTGGTTATAACTTCTTTCAGTATTTGTTCTTTGTCTTGCCTCATTTATTTCAATGGTTTCCTGCCCAGATATGGCCTCCCAAGAGTGTTAAAGATTCAGCATCACGTCTTCATTCACTGCTGAAGGAGGCTATTATGCAGGTGACTTCACGCTTGATTTCTTCTGTTTCAAAAAACTGCTACTAAATGTAAAATGAACTTCAGATATCATTTTCTTTTGACGTTTTTGTTATCATATTGCCCATTGGTGCTTCTGTAGTCATACCCTTGCCGCTTGCTACTTGTAAATCGTAATAAAGTTGTTATGCTTTTGAGCACGTTCTTGTCAAGCTTTATTTTGGTCTTCAGTGAGGTTGACCCGAAAGTTCAGGGATTTAACTGTTAACCTGGTAGAGGTCTCCGAAATTGATGCCATAAGAAAATTTTCCTGTCAAATGTATTGATCAGCACAATCAGCTGCTCCCAATGAAAACTAATGTAAAATGTAGGCTATAGAAGCCAATAGCCAAACCTTTTCTTTCCTTATCCACTAAAAATATTGAACTATGAAATAGTTTCTTAAATCTCATTCCAAAGTTATTTCAAGCTTATAAAACTCAAATTCCAGTCACTAGAATGTTGAAGATCCCAGCTTGTGGGGTGGCCACTGAATCATTTGATACTTCTAAATGCTGAAGGTCATCAATTACCTCTGAAATTAACATCTAAATGTTATCCTTAAGAAGTGCTCCAACGGAAAAAGTGATTTGGATTGATTGGAGATTTAACATGCTCTGTTGCTGCTTTATATTGCAGTTTTCATTCTAGGTTGAAATGAATATAAATTTAGTTCTGTTATTTTTCATATCTGCATAAATAAACTGTATACAACGTAAATTGCTAATGTGCAGACCGGCATGGAGAAGAATTTGTTCGGAAATCATCCTCCACCTGCATTTGCTTCAGACCCACTGATAAATATAAACTCTACTGGAGGAAGGGGACATGGTGGGAATTCATCACCTGCTGTGTCAAAAGATGAAGGATACTCAGCTGTTAGAGCACCTTCTAAACTTACGGTTACCGAAATAACGGAGATAGATGGTCCTAGTTCAGCTGAGAATTACTTGAAAACCTCTAGTCCTGTTGCTGTAAGTTCTATTTTTGTTAATTGTTGGGTGTGAACTAAGTTGTTCGAGTCATATTTTGGTTTGCCTGCTTGAGTGTGTCAATTCTCGTACCTGGGTATTTTGTCTTCTTATATTGGGTGTGTTGTTCTATGTTGTTATGTGACCCAGCCTGTGGCTACAACTCGTAAGAGTACAGTTCATGTTGATAAACAAAATGCAGAAAGCTCATATTATGCCGATGATGAAGATGGAAACTGTAAAAAGTACTATAGAAGAGGTAAGTTAAAAAAGCCTTTATTCATGATGTCATTTTGCTCTCTAATTTACTAGAATTTCCATTTTGCTCGTGCTGTGACCGTGACCTTACATCGTATTTTATTTTATGCTATGACCTCAAATTCATATTCATATTATTGTTTTTATAATATATTGTTGTAGGTCCACTACGTCATAAGTTTCTCAGAGCATTGATTCCCTTCTGGTCAAGTGCATTACCGACTCTACCGGTTACTGCACCTCCGCGTAAAGATGCAGATGATGGCTCTGAAGGTCGGGCAAAGCGTCAAAGGGCAACGCGGATGGATCCAAGAAAAATCCTTCTTGTCATGGCAATCATGTAAGTATGCACTTTTCTTTCTTGTGCGGGCATCTTCCCATTTCTTTATTACTATGCATTTCTCTTTGTTCTTACGCATGCATCTTTGCTTATGAGATACCGATTAAGAGGGAGAGATTGGAATAATAAGTGAAAAGATCTCCGAAAATCGTGAAAATAGTCTTTTGTTTGGTACCGATATTTGGGTTTGTGGGTTCTTTCACTTGAAAACTAACTTGTATCAGTTTTGCTCATCTTGTCTCGAAAATCAAATGATGGATCATAGACTGCCAGTGTTTTTGTAGCAACTTTAGATTTAAAACACATGTATTCGAAAATAGTGAACACTTAGAATATATGTTTTTTTTAATCACACTGTGTATGAATTATGATGTTACGCAGGGCCTGCATGGCAACTATGGGTATTCTATATTACAGAATTGCACAAAGGTCTCTGGATGAGGGACTTGTCGACGAGGAGCCAGTAGTAACTAATTAAAGCTCTCCTGTCATTGCTGCTGTACTTGCCTTCCTCTCTGCTCTGCCCTTGCTTTTTCGCTTCAACGGCAGCAATAAATCGAAGAGGTATCTATTTCCCATTAGTCCCATCTTTTCAAACTATTTTCTATTTGGTGTGAATACAGAGGAAAATTGTCAATTCAGTGAAGTTGAGACTGAATGTTATACTCTATAGCTTTTAATGGCCATTTTTTGAGCTTTCCTTTTTTTTTATTGGAATTGAAATGAATGACTTTGTAAAGATACTACCTGAATGCATTTACATTTCTTTTCCCTTTTATTTGATTACAAATTACTTTGAAATGAATGACTTTGTAGACTACCATATATGTTTAATTATGCATGCATGCTTGTATGTTTATACATACATATATATTTGTAACTTGACGTTTTACCAAAACATATATATATATATATATTTAATCATTTATATTGTATTTATGCATGTATAATTTCCCCAATTTAGGGTAGATTATGTGTTTAGTACCTAAACTTTCAAATTTTTCAAAACCATACTTAAAGTTTAGTTTTTTTTTTATAGGAATAGAAGGCCTCATTAAAAACCTCCCTCATAGTTGCCTCTTGTAAAGAGACAAATAGCGGAAGGAGGAAAAGAGTGCCTAAATTTATTAATAACCCATAATTACATAATATTCCAAACAATACATAAATTAACCTAACATAGAACCATAACCAAAATAATACACCATAACCACTACTCATAACAACAACCTCCTCACTCACTAACCAATTCCTGACTTAGCTAGATAGTTTATGTACTAAATGCGTTAAGTTTTTAACAGTAGATATCAAAATGAAATAAAAACTAACATTATGTATGATTTTGAAAAAATTGGAAGTTTAGGTATTAAAATGGACTAAAGTTGATAGTTTAGGTACTAAATACATAGTTTACCTTATAATTTACTAAAAGAAACACTAAAGTCGATAATTTCATAATCTGATTAAGTGGTGTTGATATTTTTCTTGTCTGGATTCCAATCATGCCCTCTCTAGTTATAGAAAAATGCACATACACAAAATACATGTGTTACAATATTCAGTTACACCTCTTAATCATATATATACTGTCATTTGCAGTATGTTGAATTGATTATAATATTTGTCTTTCGATAAACAATTTTAATATATTATTTGTTGAATTTTTTTCATAAACAAATTTATTCTAACATCATGCATCTTTAATTAATATTTAAATAAACAATTAAAACACATAACATAACTAGGATCTGTAAAGAAAGGAGACAATTTCTTAGATGCTATAGTGGGATCATTAAGATTTACCCATGATCTCGACCTTTTTTTTTCCAGCAAGATTATGGTGTTTATAATGAACAAATAGCTACTTCTATTCCGGATTTCGTTTGTCTGATACATTTTATCGCATCAATTACACCGATGCTCGAAATTTAATTGAATGAGAGCATAACAAGGACCATGTAAAACCTGAATGGTCTCAACTCCGTGAAAAACATTGGAGTTTTCTTCTTCATGCATGATTGTCGTTGCTTACACGGCTCGGAACTTCCGATTGACCGTCCAGAGGCATGTACTGTGCCATTATAGCTCTGATTTCGGAATCCATGTATGACTGCATAAAGAACAAGCATGCATTAGGCAAAAGAATCCCATAGTGTGGCTTGCTGATCAAGCCACTCGATTCCATGCATTTTGATCGAAACCAAGCCTTCCCGTCAAGGATTCAGTTAGAAAAGTCGCTTTCTTAGCCAACCAATATGCAGTCCAGACTTCATATTGCAGGCTTATTTTATAATTTAATGCATTAACTTACCCTTAATCGATATTTGTAAACAAGATAAGCGCCGCCACCAGCCATTGCCAAGCCGATCAAAATGACCCACATAGCAGCCCATGCTGATCTTACTTCGGAACGGCTCTTACCTGAGACAGAACAAGGAGTTGATAATCAAGACACTCGTGATAAGTCGTGTATTCCAACAAAAATAGGTTCAAGATGCAAATCCCAGATCGGCCAACTCACTTATGCAGGTATCATGATCCCTGATATAAAGAAGATCTCCACTGCAAGTGCATTCGTAACTTCCCCATGTATTTTTGCAGCTACATTCAGGACACTGGCAGGCTTGCTTCTCCTTGCATTCATCAACATCTGCATGATGGATAAGGCAGAAATATAATACTGATATAGCATTCTCATGTTACTCAGACTCGGGTGAAAGTGTCAGAGTGGAGACATGTAATAAACTCGCAGAGCTTAGTACAAAGTAGAAAGGGAGATTGAAAATCAAGGGTTCAAGGCCTAATTTTTCTAATTTTGAAACTGGTACGGAACTAAAAAGTATTTAAAGGGAAGATTGGGGGGGACCAAGGCTCACCTAGGCAACTATTGACACCGTCACCTTTAAACCCTTGAGGACACTTGCATTTAACATCTCCTCTATCCTGTTCAGAGCATTGATCAGAACATAAAGTTGTTTTCACAAGGAAGAATAACCAGGAAAAAAAAAAACAAAGTGCTACTAACCAAACAAGCAGAGTATGCAATTCCATGCTGTGACTCGTGCCAACAACCTCCGTTATTAATCTTGCACCTTCCAGGCCCACCAGCTGAATGGCAAGAAGAAACAGAATTCAGGTGAAAAACAAATCTATGTTACTCGGACTAGATTGTGAGTGTCGAACAAGGCGTTGTTCACTTCTCCCTCCCCAAATTGTCATGTACTTAGAGAGTACTTTTATGATCATATCTCCATATCCATGTTCGGATACATATCGTATACTGGTACGACATCCTTTCTCAAACACATAATAGTCAATGTGGGGCCTCAAACCGAGACACATGTCGTATGAAGCAAATCAAGCTTTTCTCACAATGTGGAATAGGATGTGTGCTATGCTATGTTATTCAGACTCGAGTGTAAATATCAAACATGGATACGTGTGTGACATGGGCCGTATCCTCATACCCATGACCAAATATGTGTCCGACATGGGTGTCGGATATAATAGCCTAATAGGTACTTAAAGAAAAATGAAAAGTTAGAAGAAGAACATGGAGTACATGAATCCTATAATGCCATTGCATCCTATAATGCCATTGCATCCTATTATGCCTGTATCATAAAAAACTCTAAAAATCAACTTTGAAGTAAAAAACTTTGTCCATGCAAATACAATGATCAATAATAGAATCCCATTTCTCACGTTCACAGTGACTGTAACCATCTCCTTTGAATTGCACATCATTCACCAAAGGGCATTCGCATACTCTTCCTCGAAACGTATCCTAAGAAGAAAATCAATATAGTTATATAAGTTCATGGTGTCACAAGCATGTAGAGGAACTTCATCAAAAATGTTTTAATTCCTACCCTGCAGGCTGTAAGATTCGCTGCTTTATCTTGCCAACAACCACCATTGTTCTCCAAGCATTCGTTCGTTTCCAAATCTGCAAAAGAAGTAACCTCTGTCACTCATGTTTCGAATAACAACTGGACAGTAAGTTGAACTCTTAACTGTCACTTCTAACAGCCCAACCCTTGGTTAATCAAGAAATATAAAGAGTGAAATGTAACAACGAAAAACTCACCACCGGTTAGACAAATGGCCGGTTCAGTAGTCTCCTCAAAGCCAGCACAGATGGCCTTCAAAACAGCACTTTTGGCCAGCTTCCCTGCGTGCACAAATGTAAGGAAAGGAAAGCACCTAAAATTTTATCTAGGCACACAGGCATGAATACGATTATACGAACCTCGATACTGGTGATCGTTCACAACGAGTGTAGGCAATATCGTAACATCACCTCTAGATCCTTTCCCCACCTATGAAAATGTTCATGATTAACAGGTTCAAAATGTCAAATATGACAACAAATCCATAGCAAGTTAGTAGTATAAAACATAAGCTTGAGAGAGTGTTACTTGCGCATCTTGTTCTTCTTTCAGAACAGGATTATCTCTATCAGCATCGGGATCTCCCATACACGTCTCAATCTTTTTACCATCAAGCCCTGAATGGATTACAAAAGAACATCATCAATCAGTGGGAATTTTAAGTGAAATAAGGGATTCTTTTAAACAAATGTTTACCAAGAGATTTGATAACGCCATCTGCACATTCCTTGTTATATTTTTTGGCCTTCATGGGGCATCGTATTAGAAAGTCTGTCACGTAGTCCCACCACACCCAAGGCCTATGGGACTCGTTTGCCACTCTGAAAACACAGAGTTGCCTTAAGTTCTCCGTAACGACATCTTTTCCGTCATAACCCCTGCTAAAATCTTGTTCGGGATCTGGTGCGCAATATCTTCCATGGTTGATGCATTGAGATTTGCACTGTCGGCTTAGGGAAAAAGCTTGAGGGCAATACCAAGTTATATAATGGGGAGTGAATCGAGTATAGCCGCCTTTTTCGAGTACCTGAGCAGCACCCTTGAAATCCTTCACAAATCCCATCAGTATATCACATTTAACTCCACATTCATCGTTGCTGTTTGTCCATAACTCGTACTCGACACGGTCATCAGGGTGCGGGACAGCCTCTCGCCAGTCGAGATTAACATTGACCATATCCCCACCACTGATCGCTTCCTTTAGAGTGTCACCGAAAGTTTTCTCGATGAGGGCAGATGGAATTGTTATGTTCTCGATGTATTTCGCCGATGAACGATACTCTTCCGGTGTGTCCATCGTTATTAATGGTTCTTCGATATCATCCGCAACCAGCACTGCAGAAGCACCAGCACTCTGTACATTCCAAACCTTTAAAGCAAAGAAGCAATCTGGAAAAATAACGAGAAATTAAGGTACTAAACAAATGCAGACTTGGTTTAAGGGCGGGAAATCGAGAACTACATGCAAGACCATAACTTAGTTGAGAACAATAAACAAATTTTACAACCTTGGCAACAACTGATGTCCATATATAGGCAAGAGTAAACTCTTAAATGTTCTTGAACGTACCAAATAGTTAAATAGTTAATTGTGTTAAAACTTATTACATTGGTTTTTTTTGCTATTCAGCCGTTAAATAGTTAATTGTGTTAAAACTTACAGTTATATAGATGCAAAATGACGACATTTTGATTAAAATTTTAATTTTTTTAAATGACGTCGTTTTTAATGCCAGTTAACTATTTAACGGTAGAGTTACCAAAATATGATAAAGAGTAAAGTACATTAACCAAAAAATTAAATGTATTATGTTCAGTGAGAAAATTAAAAACTTTTAAAGTTCAGTAAATAAAATAAGAGAGAGAGTAAAGTTGAATGATGAAATTTATAATTTACCCTTATTATTGTTATAAGACATCTGTTTGAGAACCAATCAAACGCAAATGATACACTAAAATCTAAATCTATGCCACTCGGACTCGGATGTGAAATACAAGCATGCATGGCATAGACATGATCAAGTTTTTTTTTGCTTTTTCATGTATTTGGAAGATCTATAAAAGTCATACTACAACAGGGATGGATAGAAGGAGAGAGGGTAGAGGTAATGGTCCCTTAAAATTTTCAAATGATATTATATTTTACATTTTCTTTTATATTTTCTATAGATGATTTATTTTCACCCTCTAAAAGTTTATAAGTTTATACACTTTTAAAAATTTAAAATTTCACTTCAATGTAAAATTTTATGTCCGTCCTATACCTCGGTGCTCCTTCAAATATGAGTATGTGGAGTGTTACAAGAAAAATGAAGAGGTGGAGAAACATATTTACTTTTATAGTAACCCATAAAGGTGATACCTATGAAGTAATGTGGAAAATAGGAGGGGGAGAGCAACCTCAAATTTCAGAAAACGACTAGGATAAAAAGAGAAAAAGACGTCCTACCAGACGACCTAATCAGGCTAAAACTAACAATATATAAACAATTATTAATCAAACAAACAACAAACTCAAAAGCTGTGGGAACTGATAAACCTAAACTTGTTCAAATGAACGAAAGAATTTTATTATATGTCACATCAATCCAAATGAATAACAGTAAATTAATTAAAACTCATGTCCTAATCTAACGTTTAATTATTATTATTTTCCCTAAAAAGAAAAACCTTGAATCAACCAAAGCCGACAAAGTAAACACTAAATATAATATTAAAAAAAACCTCAAACAAATAAAATTAGCCAAAAAAAAAACGCAAAAGATCATCGGCAGTCAACCCTACAACAGATATTATAGCTTAGGCTAATTTCGTGATTAGAAAGCGAAATGATTTACCTCCACGATCGATCAAAACAAAGGTAGGAAGAGAACCGGGTTTGGATTTGAACGAAATCCCCAACTCATCAAAGCTCTTACAGGCCTTTTTGTTTTCCTTGGGGTAAACCACGGCACCGGCCATGCTCCCGCCGTATTGAGGTACCCCAAAGTTCCCGATCGCACTGTCGCGGGTTCCTTTAATCTTCTCCGGCGACGTCACCGTCAAGCTGTTCTTTTCCACCACGAATCTCGCTTGGCATTCCCCTATCAAAATCAGTAACGCAAAACCTTGCAGAAGATGATGGAATCTCCGTTGCTCCATCCCGGTTTCTTCAATTTTATTCCCAGGCACTGGGATTTGATGAATAAAATTAAATAAACGGTTAAATACTGAAAAAAATGGCCTTCAAATATCAAAATCTAGATCGAAGAGAAACATTTTTATGTTGTTTTCATTTGCCGAAATGATTTTTGATCAACAATATTTGCAGAAATGATTCAAAGAACAACAAGTAAGTTTTTGACACGATGCGCCATTGATTTCGAGGAGATCAGCGTAATACGCAAGTTGATACAAAAATAGAATGAAATAAAATACCCTATGATCACCCTACATCGATAATTTTTTCTTTTAGCCACCCAATTATAAAACGTTACAAATTAGTCACCATTTTTTTTAAGAGAATAATATTACTCTAAAAGTTTTAGATTTGGGCAGTTATATCTATAGTATGTTTGTGTGTTGTCAATTAATTAAGAAAGTACACTGGTTTAGAAGAAACCTACTATCAAAACCGTTAAAAATGGTCAAAAACTCTTCATGTAATAAGTTTACGCATGTTATTAGAATTGAATCAAAATCGATTAATTAAACAAACGATTAGAATTGAATCAAAATCGATTAATTAAACAAACGATTGAATCTAAATGGTTGAATAATTAAACAAACGATTGAATTGAGTAAAAAAATATTTTTAGTTTTTATATTTAATTTAACTATTGTTGATCTAAGTGGTTGAATCGAAAATTGATAATATGTTGGTTTGACTACATATGTGACTTTTATAACATTAGTTTGTAATTTGTGTTGATTTTATTTTTTTAAGTGCTACAAGTATATTCCGAATATATTTATGATTGAAATTTATGCCTATCTCTTTTAATAATATCATATCGAGAACTGAATTTAGGTTATTTTCTTAAGAATATAATACACCTTACTCAACACTTGTTATTTGTTAATAGGCCATAAGTCTTAAACATAAATAATAAAGTGGACATAAAAAATATAAATACACTACACAAAATGATTATAACGTGAAAATATAATTAATAATAAGAAACTAAATAAAAATCTAAACGTGACATGCATGTAGCTCAAACTTGAGATTTTAATAGTTTTCAACTCTCACCCTTAGGGCAGAGTGCCCATTCTTCATGTCGATGGACTGAAATTAGTTTTTTCCTTAAACTTGAAGGACTTGGATACAATTTACCCATACTGTGTTTTATTTTACTTTTGAACCAATCCAATCTACGAAGGCTAGCCGACAACCTGGACAGTGTAACAGACAAATCAGGAAAAAGCCCAAGTGTAAGTGAAACGGTGTCGTTAAACAACTTCCCAAAAGCCAAAAGGTACTTTTGTTTTCATCTAACAACTCATCATCCGACCGCTAAATCGATCGTGAACAACACGTCCCACTTAAATGGCGCCAAATATACAAAATACCTAACGGTTGGCTTAAGTATTCCGCTCTTATATCCTCAGCGCGTGTAAACCATCTAGCAACCTTATTCATGACCACTTCTTGTTTTTATATCTATTTTTAATTGGTTTTTATATTATTTTATAATCTTTTTGGTATAAATAGCGAGGGAATTCAATCATTGTAAATAAGCCTATAAAAGGCATTGCAAAATCTTCTTCTTTTCCTCTGTGGATATTTTCAGCTCAAAATCGAAACCCTAATTTCGTTATCTTTTCTTCTTATCATCGAAAAGAATGGGATTGTGGGAAGCTTTTCTCAATTGGCTGCGAAGGTAAGTTCTATTCCTCGTTTGGTTACTGCGATAACAAAAGTGACGAATTTAAGAAATTGTTTTTTTTTTCTTCATCTTAAAGTTGTAATCGAACTTTGGCTAATATCTTGCGAGAAAAAAGAAAAAGAGATTGTTTACGTTCGTGCTCACTTATTTTATTACCGATTTGGTTTTTAATTTTATTAATTTGATAGTTAAAAGTTAAGTATATAAATGTCTGGAACCTGTGCGTTGAAGTTGTTATTTTTTTTTTGTATAAGTTTTTTTTTAATTGAATTTTCTTCCCCTTTAACGGGGCTATGTTTTGATGCTAAGAACGTCCACATACATACGTAAGGCTGCGATAAAAGACCTGCTTTGAAGAGGTTTTTTTTTTTATAATTGGTTGATGGGTAATTAAATCGAGTCTTAACTTTGCTGCCTGTGTAGTTCATATATTGTTCGCTACCTACTCTGTTGAAGCGCTTGATTTTGGTAAAAGATCGTTAGAAGAAGATATTTTTCTCATCTATGCTCATTGCTCAAGGTGTTTGGGCACGTCTTTATTGTAGATTTCTCTTTATGTGTCTTTGTGGATGTATTATGTCGATTATTGCACAAAATTCTGTTTATTTAGAATTGCATTTGGGAAAGTGATAGTTGCAGCTAGTAGCAACTGCCACAGTTGCAGGGGAGAGAGTTTTGGGTTGTATTGCTATTGAGACAAGGATTTTGTTACAATGTGGTCACCGCAGTTTATGTGCAGATTTGGACAATGCACAAATAGGAGAATTACATGAGTGGCAGGGTTATCGTATAGTGGTCTTCATTGAGGTCTAGCTGGCTTTTTGTGCTTTTCTCCCTTGGTGATAATTAACGGACTGACTAACCAAGTTCACCCGTACGAATGAGGAATAAAAACCAACCACCAACTTTTGATGTTGTATGAAAGTAAGTAAAATGAAGTGATCCATCTTGAACCAGAAAGTGCTCTTTAACAAATTGAATCCGAAATAGGTGTTCTGTAAGTGTTTTTTTTCCTTCCTTTTTGTTGGGGGTGGGGTTTTTCTTTTCTTTTCTTTTTTTCTTGGGGGGGGGGGAATATTGTCCAAACTAGTGAGCTGCTGAGTCATGAATTACGCAAACAGTAAGGGACGATTACCTTGGGTGAGAAAAGACTGGGTTAGGTTGCTGGTGATTAGGGCATATTCTTCCTTTATGTATATTTAGGGATTGCATTATAATTTTGAAAGAGCTCTCGATGTATGTTTGCTATTGTCTGTTTTTTTTCATATTAATCCCATCTATTTGTATTAAATTTCTTGCATTGCCATTCTTATTTTCTTTCTCCTTCTTGTAGTCTCTTTTTCAAGCAAGAGATGGAGTTATCTTTAATAGGCCTCCAGAATGCCGGAAAAACATCCCTAGTTAATGTCATTGCTGTAAGTGCATTTATGTGAGAGTTGTAACATTGTTCCTATTTGTTGGCATCCTATCTCTTTTAGCTCGGTCCTGACAGTTTGACTTATTTTTCCACATCTTATTTCCAGACTGGTGGATATAGTGAAGATATGATACCGACAGTAAGTCACATGGCAAAGAACTGATATGGAAAATTATTTTCGAGAATGTTAATTTGCTTGCAACAAGATTTTGTTAGCCTGTTCTTTTGTTTCTTGTAATTTTCAGTCTATTTGCAGGTAGGGTTTAATATGAGGAAGGTAACTAAAGGAAATGTCACAATAAAGTTATGGGATCTTGGGGGTCAACCAAGGTTTCGGAGTATGTGGGAGAGATACTGCCGTGCTGTTTCGGCTATTGTGTAAGTCTACTTTTTAGCTACTATATTTCTCTTTAATATGGCATGAACTTGGAACTCGTGACATCGTTTAATGTTTCTATGATATGCATGTCTTTACTTCAAAAAGTTATTGTTGGGGTTCCTTTTTTTATGAAAGAGTATCAGAGGATCATACTCTCATATCCAAGTATGTTATAGACTAGAAAAAACAAAAGGTCGTCGTGACTTATTGTCCTTCAAGTTCCTTTAATATTGCTAGGAAACGACCGTTGAGTGATTTACGAGGACCTATGTATGTTCTATCTTTGGTTTGACCATGTTAGGGAATTGATAGGTAATAAAAGGGAAAATAGAACAAATTATTGCCATTTGTGTGCTACAATTGTAGATATATAAACATATCCGAATATCTAATTGAAGGCAATGGGAACTTGGTAAATTTTCTTGATAAATTCTGGTTCACTAGTGAGATTTTATCTAGCATGATTTAAAATTCCGAGTTGCAGCTATGATCTCTTCTTTACTTTTCACCTCCGTCTCACCGGTTATTCTAATTTTCTTTCCTTGTTTGTCTACTGATTGCTGTAATTTTCTACGGACAAATTTAAACATTTTTGCTGTGTTAGACTTGCAAATTAGCAATGTAAGCGGCATAGATTGATATATGCTATTTGAACGGATACAAAATACATGTTTTGCGCCATCATGTTTTCCATCGTATTGGCCAACTAGTTCTTACTCTGATTTTCTGCAATACACAGCTATGTCGTGGATGCTGCTGATTTTGATAACTTATCCGTCTCGAGAAGAGAACTCCATGACCTGTTAAGTAAAACCTCACTGAACGGTATTCCCCTGTTGGTACTCGGAAACAAGATCGACAAACCGGAAGCCTTGTCTAAGGAAAATTTGACAGAGCAAATGTAAGTAAAAGAATTGAACATTAGTTTTCGTGTAGTCCGATATAACCAAACTGATGGTCATATTAATTCATCGAACACTTGCCATTGATGGTTATGCAGGGGGCTGAAGTCTATCACAGACAGAGAAGTTTGTTGCTATATGATTTCATGCAAGAACTCGACCAACATCGATACGGTGATTGATTGGCTTGTGAAGCATTCGAAATCAAAGAATTGAGATCTCGAAAACATCACTTTTCTGTCTGGTATTGTCTAACAAGGTGTGTCCGTGGCTGGGACCATGGTCTTAATTTTCCAACTTGGCTTGAATCATTGGCATTATTTATACGTATAGTTTGGTGGGTGCGTGGGGCATAAATTTGTTTGATCCTTTCTCATGTACAGATATTCCGTTGTAAAACACTAAACATGGTAAAACGGTTTGTGGATTTGCATCAAATAAAGGCCTTTTCGGAATATGGTTTCTTATCTTTTTAATTCCCTTATGGATTAAAAAATCTGGATTTGGTCCTCGTGAGGTCTTGGTTTAATGGTATGGTTAAAATTTTGCGAAATTTGAATTTTTTTTATTCGAATTTTATCATATTTAAATATTGATATTTGCTTTTGTAGGTATGATTGACTCTCATCAACAGGTTAAATTGAGTAGTAGTACAAGTGGCATGGATTGGTTCAACAAGCATGTTAGAATTGATCATTAGATTTATTTTTCAGGATTCAGTCTCCTAAAAAATTATGTGTTAATTTAAAAATAATCATTTTATTCATTTATTCTAAAAAACGATAAATTTTAACCCAAAAATCACCCTAATAACGAAATATTATCTGTCAGGCACCCTTTCTCTAAATATTATCGACCTAGCACCCTTTCTGACAAAGAGCGGATCATGAAGCGTGCTTTCGCGGGATTTTATCCGAGCTAGCACCACGGTGGAAAGGCGTGGATCATAAGGCACGCCTTCGCGGGGTTCTATCCGAGCTGACAAAAGACTTGGATCATGATCCGTACCTTTCATTTAAATCCAACCATCAGCCATAAATACCGCCCGTCCATCCGCCTCTTCTCCCCTATAAATTCTACATCCCTTTCAACACTTATGGTATTTTGTGATTGCCTCGTTTTTTTCACCTTTAGGATTTTCCGTCTTGCCAGCATGGCTTTTTTCCATGCTTTTATTTGATTCCCGGATCTTCGTTCCGTCTCTTATGGATATTACTGTATGGTTTCCTTTTCGTATACATGGATCATGTTTACAGATTTCCTCGGTTTCCCTGGCTATTGCATGATAATCTGTTCCGGTAGTAGATTTAGGTGGTAGGTTTTCCTTCACATTTCCATCTGTATCTTTGGGAACGTCAAACAGGATTTCTTCATTGGTTTTATCAGTGTTGTCAATTGTATACGCATCAATCACCACCTGTCCCGGTTTCTGTAGTGGTTGTTTTCCCTTCCTCCTGAAGTTCAGATTATTAGCCTCTGGTTTGTCCTTCCTCACCATAGCCCCCGTAATATTCTTGGATGTGTTCTCTTGAGTTAGATCTTTTGCGCTATTTGTCTCTATTTCTTGTTGAGAATTCATGTTTGTGTCTCCAGGTTTTGTAGATGAGTAAAACGCGAATTTGTTGTCCCACTTTCCTTTGGTATGTTCTCTTTGTGATTTGATGTTTTTGTACGTCTCGTTTTCCTGGTTGCAACCATCCATGGCCAGTATAGATTTCTTTCACTATCATCGGTATTTGCTTTAGAAGTGTTGACTGTCACTTTTCCTCCCTGGGTTGTCTCTCTATTTTTCTCTTGAGCTGAAAAACAATTTTCACTGATGTGACCATACCTACCAAAAGTGTAGCATATCATTTGAAGTCCCTCATTTTCAATTTTTTGGGTGGAGCCATCTATGCCCACGCAAGGTAACAAGGGTCTGTGTAGATCAACCACGACTGCTATTCTCGCAAATCTGCCTCGCTCACCTGCATTTGTGTTGTAGTCAATTTTCACCACTTTTCCTATGATTCGGGCAATTGATCTTAGTAACACATTCGTGTAGTATCTATACGGTAACCCTGGTAATCTAATCCATGCGATTACTTTCGAAGGATGGCTTTGGTTCGTGGAGAAATCCCTACTCCAAGGTTGAACGGTGAGGTAACTCTCAAAGATGGTTCAAGGTCCCTAGGTCAGGATCTTTGTATAATCTTCCTCTTTTTCAAGTTTAACCAGGAAGTAATCATTCTCAAGATTGACAATATTAACATTTCTTGTCGGTTTCCAGAGATTATTAATTCTGTTGACTAACGTAGTATACCCGATCTTTTTGCCAAGAAGTATAACTATGATGGTAAGTTTCATGTTCCGATCAATAATCTCATGTACTCTGTTAGAAAAATTGATTCTTGGAAACGGGCCACTTACATCAATATTGATGTCCCCTTCTTGAAAGACAATATCCTCCTCACCACTGCTGATCGAGAGATTTCCTTTATTGTTCTTTTGGTTTGTCACTACTGCAGCGTAAGTCGGTTTATCTCTCCACTCCATATTAGTGGTATTTACATCTACTATAGATGTTTGATCTGGGTTGGCCTCCTGCATGGTTGAATCTTGGAAGCTCTCAGATGTTCCTTGTTCATTCATCTTACCGATATTTTCCAAACTATTCTCTTCATCCCGTCTTTCAGATGCTGCACATCGTTGGTCCAACACCATGGAGGTTTCAGCCCTACCTCCAGGAGGTTGTACGCAATGTTCTTCTCCGAGTACTTGGTTATCTTTCAGTCTTGGGTTTGCCATCGAATTCAAAAACGAGACATGTATTGCTTTAGAAGATGGAAAGAAAAACTGTGCCACAATCTACAATTTCAAAGTACAGGTATCGTATTGAAAATATTACCATAATTAAGGGGGCTTTTTTGCAATTATGCCACATATATTTAAAGACCGGTCTTCCACTATGACTCGCATTTTGACCGTAGTCTCCGTTTTTCGCGGAACCCTTTCCTTGATCAGCAGTCGTTCCCGCCAAAAAACCATGGAAATTGACCTGAAATAAAGAGAGAAAGAATTCAATATACGATTTCCTTTTTTTTCCTTTTCTTTCGATTTTTCAATCGTCCAAACGTCCTGTCAACTCCTCATAAACTAACCAGTGACCGCCTATAAATATATAAGTTGCTGCTATGCAGCTATGGAGCTTGACGACTGCTCGAGTTATTATCTACATGCAGATTTTTGTTCCACGGTAAGTATAAGTTCGTCACCGGATAAATTTCTAATTTCTCTTTTAGTGTATATTTAAGGTTTTGCAATTACTCCGGTTTTTGTGAACCTATTGGAGGCTAGGGTTAGGTCAACTTGTATAATTTGTATTGCGCTAGAGAGAGATAGATTCTTTTTCCTGATTACTTGCAGCTGCACGAATTTCGTTAACATGTCGGCAACTAAAAAATTAGCAGAAGTAGGTATACTGATTACTTTTTGGTACTCATTTGGGAAAGTTAAAAGAAGGGAATGAAGGCATTCCGAGAATAAAACTCGAGAACTCTCACACCCAAAATGAGAATTTTACCACGAGACCGAACACATATCTTTGATGTTTAGCACAACCTCTCTTTAGTTATTAGCTCTTTGCTTCAAGATTCTGCTGAACATTCATGTCTAACTTCTAACTGGTTAGCAAGTTATTCTGCTATTAGAATAGTAGTTTAGTTCTTAAATTAATGATTTTAAATATGTTCTTATTGGGCACATAGTGCAGCAGATTGAACTTAGAGACTTCTCTTTCACTTGTTTTTCTTGCCATAAACATTATTCATGAAACTACTTAAAATCTGGCTCTTCAAATGTCAGTTGATTACATGCTTACGTGATTCCCACCTTTGGCAGGGTTAAGAAAGGCCTCTATGTTATTTTACTTGTAATAAAAAAAAGGTGGGGGCATTCCGAGAATTGAACTCGGGACCTCTCGCACCCTAAGCGAGAATCATACCACTAGACCAAATGCCCGTTATTGATTGCTTAACTCAACCTCTCTTTAATTATTATCTCTTTTCTCTAAGATTCTGCTAAATTTTCACGTCCAGCTTCTAACTTGTTAGCGAGCTAATGGTTTAAAGATGTTCTTATGGGACTCATTGCAATTATTGACTGATCATTAATGCTGCGCCGGACTAACCTTTGTTTGTGGGGATATGTAACTGAATCCAGTCTATAGTGATGCAATATGTAGAGATGCTACCTACTTTAGCTGCTAAAACCATTTTGCAATTCTAGTTAGGATCCTGAAATGAATCCCAACTTGACAAGGTGTTGCACCTTTTTAGTGGTCCATTCCTCAAGTATTTTGTCTGCTCCTCGAATGTTGGTCTATTACATGCTTATGTGATCCCTCCTTTAGTATGTTTAAGGCAGATTTATCTTAAGACTTTTGAGATAAACGCATGAAGAATCACTTGCCCTTCACTCGGACAAGTTCAAGTCTGAAAACAGGTATTTCAAAGGAAATGAGGAGTTGAAGTTCATTAGGTACAAGTAAACTTTTGAAGACACCATTCCTAAGCTTTTATATTATTTTATTCAGCTAAACATTCACGAGCTTCTAACTTTTTAGCAAGTTATTCTGCTGTTAGAATACTAGCTTAGTTCTTAAACTAATGATTTTAAATATGTTCTTATTGGAAATCATAGGGCAGTAGATTGAACTTGGAGACCTCTCTCACTTGCTTTTCTTGCCATAAGCATTTTATTCATGAAAATGAAAAAGAGGAGATGGGGCATTCCGAGAATTGAACTCGGGACCTCTCGCACCCTAAGCGAGAATCATACCACTAGACCAAATGCCCATTTTTGGTAAAAATATTTTCTTTTAATAAAAGTAGTTTGAACTTTATTTTAGATTTAGGTATGCAAACTATACGACTAGCTTAGAATACATAGCATAGTACCATCAAGTGGCATAAAAATAAGCTAAAAGGACAATTAGGCAGTTGTGCATAAATATTATCGGTAAATACTGTTTTGTGGCTGACCAAATGCGGGATCTTGTGTTTCTTTGACTTGTTATGGCAGATCTAGTGTTTCTTGATGCTATGATAGCTTGCCCAGCTTGGTAATTAACATTGAGCAACTCTGTTGACTTCTGGCTATATTAATTTATTGGTATTTTGAAATTGTAAGATGGAACTTAAAAGGGAAATTTAGAATTAGGTGCATTACGAGAATTAAACTCAGGGCATCTCACACCCAAAGCAAGAATCATACCACTAAACCAAATAACCATTTTTGTTACTTAACCTCTCTTCAGTTATTAATTTGTCGATTCTCTTAAATTTTCACGTCCAGCTTCAAACTTGTTAGCAACCTAATGGTTTTAAAATGTTCTTATGGGACTCGTAGCAGTTATTGACCGATAATTAAAGTTGCGTGTGACCGAACTTTTGTTAGTCGGACTCTGCAACTGTATCCAAAGTCTATTATGATGCATTATGTAGAGGTTCTACCTACTTTAGCTGCTAAAGCCATTTTGTAATTCTAGTTAGGATCTTGAAATGAATCCCACCTTGACAAGGTTTTGCACTTTTGTAGTGCTTCATTCCTCGAGTATTTTAAGTCTGCTCATCAAATGTTAGTCGATTTCCATCCTGTCTAAATACAGGTATTTCACGTCTAAATACCTGCACCTGTGCTCTGCTTTTTGAACTCATCAGATTTCCATCCTGTCGGTGACACTATAACAAGGTACAAGAAATAAACTTTTGAAGACACCACAAATTGTTCATGAACCAAATGGATCTGAAGTTACTAGGCATCTATATTATTTTATTTGTATAGTTGACTTAGTAGCAGATTTTATGATTTGAAAAAGAAAATAACATTGGGGGCAATTCGAGAATTGAACTCAAAACCTCCGCACCCTAAGCAAGAATCATACCACTAGACCAAATGCCCAACTTTGATATGTATGTTTTTGACAAATCTCAAATACATTGCATAATGATAAGCTTACAGGAAGCTTAGGCAGTTTCGTGAGCTTTGCAGGCCAAAATGCAAGATCTTATGTTTCTTTAATTGGTTATGCCGGATCTAATGTTCTCAGTTACAAGTCAGTTGATAGTTTGCTCATCTTGGAAATTAACATATTTTTTATATACATTTAGCTGTTTATTGTTGGATTTTTATATATCTAAACTATCTATAATCTTTTAAATAATGAGAATTAGGTGTTAACTCATTCAGCTATTCCTCGCTAATGTTTGAGAACAAATTAAGACGAAGCTTAAATTAATTTTTTACACGTACAAATGACTTCTTGCTAATGTTTGATGAAATTTTAAAACTTTTAGTAAATGAATGTATGGTGGAGAAAATAATAGTAAAAAATGAGTAAAACATACAAATTCCGAAGTATATGCTTTTGATGTTTTCTTTCATTTAAGCCCGAGATTTGCTGCGGACCATATTTGTGAGAAATCTCCCCTTTGTTTTTTGTTTTTTTAGTTACCAAATTGACTGATTAATATTACCCCAACAAACAAATTCGAGGAACAAGGACTGAAGGAAGGTTAATACAATCATTTGATTTGTCTTCTCTTTTATCTTTGTTTTTGGTTCAAAACGAACAGAAAAACAATGGCAACATTTGCGGGGACACAGCAGAAATGCATGGCGTGCAACAAGACTGTCTATTTGGTTGATAAGCTGACGGCCGATAATCGGGTTTTCCATAAGGCCTGCTTCCGTTGCCACCATCGCAACGGTACTCTCAAGGTAAATATCTAATCTTTTTTATACTTCAATTTTCTTTTAACATGAGGAGTTTACGGCTGTGTGATTGTTTTAGATATTGGAATGTGAGAAGGAATTGTAAAATGTTGAGATTCAAATATCATATTTATTTGGTTGTTGGATGAATTAATTGAGCTAAATTCTAAGTTGATTTTATGTTGCGTTATTGGTTTTATGACAAAATAAGCAATATTTTTCATTCATTCATTAATTAATTATTGTTTATTTTTGCGGCTCAGCAATTACAATTCTTTTGAAGGAGTGCTGTATTGCAGGCCTCACTACGAGCAATTCTTCAAGAGAACCGACAGTCTTGACAAGAGTTTTAAAGGTATATATATCTATATTTATTTTTTGATTAATTGACCGACCAATCTAAATAAGATACTCATTATAAGAACAATCTTTATAATCTAATTTACTCCATTTATATTATCAGAAATTAAATCATCGACTTTATTTAAGGGATCTAACCTCATATCTAGTTAAATCATCTAAGAGTTGATCTTCATATATGTGTCTTATCTCACTGGACTATCAGAGAGCTGGTATTCATATTTTCGTCTGTTAACGATACGCACTCCTCTTTTATTTTCTTTTAAATATTTATCCAGGAACACCAAAGATCAAGCATGAAAAACTGGTTGAAAATGAGGTAATTATTGGCAACAATCCTGTTTAGATGTGATAATAAAATGCCAAGTGGCATCAAGTCAAGTCACCTATGACGAACTGGATTAAATAAAATCAGAAGTCTCCACGACCATTTAGTCCACTTCGATCGACCACCACAAAATCCAACCCTTTTATGTCTCCTTCTCCACGAGCCACTCCACCTGTAACACTTCACCTTTCTAGAGACGCCTCTGCCTCGGTTTCTTATATACCGTTATCCTCATATATATGTACTTTCTCATAGTACCAGCATTGAACTTCATTGAAAAACAAAATCATAAAAAATGGCTACTCTCTTCTTCGCTTCACACCCTTTTCTATCTTCATGCAATCTCCCTATCCTGCAAAACAACGAGAAACATGGGTTTAACAATGTTGGGTCGAGTTTTCCTACGATTGTAAAGAAAACCCAGAGTTTTAATCGTGGAAATTCCCTTGATTTCTCGGTTAATCGTCACTATCTATCATTAAAACCTCTGAGATCCTCTGTTAAAGATGAGCAAGAAACCGAGCTCACTTCTTCTTCGGGTTCCGTCGCGGTGGCACCCGAGGATCCGAGCGATGAAAAACACAGTGCGAAGAGTGTTCAAGATGCTGAATCGAGCGAAGAAAACGGAGAAACGGAGGGGAAAGAAGATCAGCAAGAAATGGACTGGAAGACGGACGAGGAGTTCAAGAAATTCATGGGGAACCCTTCTATTGAGGCTGCGATAAAGCTGGAGAAGAAAAGGGCGGATAGGAAGCTCAAGGAACTTGATAGGGAGAGCAGTTTTAACCCAATCGTGGGGCTTTTCAATAAGCTAGTGCGTGATAATTTGACTAGACAAAAGGAAAGGTTGGAGCTTGCTGAAGAGACTTTCAAGGCTCTTGATCTTAATAAGGTGAGAAATTGTTTAGATTTTCAAGTTTTGAGTTTCATTACGGACTCTGGGTACCTTCTAATTTATCTATTTACTTACATCTTGTGCTATGGTATCCAGATTATATGATATCATCCTCCAAATATATGAAAAAGTTAGAGAAATTTAAGCAATTGGTAGCTGTTTTGTGTATGTTTTGTGCAAACCAAAGGTTATGTTGTTCGGACTTTTCATTTTGAGTATTCGGACATTCGAACACGGTTGATGATTGATTGTTTGATCGAAGACTGTTGATATGCTTCTGGTTCTTTGTTCGTTTGAATTAAATGTATTTCATGAATTGCCTGTGGCCTTGTGTGTTTATTGATTGTTTAAAGACGATGATCTAGAGCACGCCAAAGAACATTTATGGCTTATTTTCTTGTGCTTGATGTTTGATATTAGTTGAAGAGCTGTTTTGGATTCGACACATTTTTCGCAACGGATGTTCGAAGATTCGGAGATGGAGGGATTTTCATCGGGAATTTGAGGAGACCGATCGAAGAAGTCATTCCCATACTCGAGAGAAAGCTAGCCGATGCTGCTGACAGGGAAGTCGTCATATGGTTCATGGAGGAAAAAACAAACGATATTACAAAACAGGTAACTCAACATGAGCCAATAATTTGTATTTATGCTTTTGGAATAAGAATAGTCTTTTGTCTACCAGAGCCTAAATATTTAGTTCTTGTGGTTCAAGGCATGTGTGGTGCAACCTAAAGCCGAAATCGATCTCCAATTTGAGTCTGCTAAGCTGAGCACTCCTTGGGGATATGTTAGTGCAATAGCCTTGTGTGTTACGACTTTCGGGACCATTGCTCTAATGAGTGGATTCTTCCTGAAACCCGGTGCTACATTTGACGATTACATTGCTGATGTACTGCCTCTCTTCGGTGGCTTTGTCTCCATTTTGGGAGTTTCTGAGGTATGCCTTGACTTTCTGTATGGTTGCTCCTTTTAATTCCGAATGAAGAGGTTATTGGGGGAAGCATCCTATGATCTTGCTAAGTTTTTTATTGGCCTAGTTATTCAAGAGTGCGTATTTCATATTTGGCAGATAGTCACAAGGGTGACTGCTGCTCGTTACGGCGTTAAACTCAGTCCTTCTTTTCTTGTTCCATCTAATTGGACTGGCTGTTTGGGTGTGATGAACAATTATGAATCATTGCTTCCGAATAAGAAGGCTCTTTTTGATATTCCGGTGGCACGTACGGCGAGCGCTTACTTGACGTCACTAGCTCTTGCGATCGCTGCTTTCATATCTGATGGCAGCTTTAACGGTGGCGATAATGCATTGTAAGTTCTCTGTTATATCATTTTCCCAAATACTAAAACAACAACAATGGAAGTAGAATGTGTGCGATCTTCTATGGTTAGGAAAGTTCGTGTTGCCATGGATCATTGTCAGCTTATTTCCTAATCTGATGTTAATCGGCCCGGTTGGAATGTAGTTATGAAAACTGCTCTTTATATTTCAGGTTCATAAGGCCTCAGTTCTTCTACAACAATCCACTGCTTTCTTTCATCCAATATGTTATCGGACCATACGCAGATGAGCTCGGAAATGTATTACCAAACGCTGTGGAAGGGGTCGGAGTTCCTGTTGATCCCCTTGCTTTTGCTGGACTTTTGGGTAAGTTACTTTCCCTACTGGACAGCACCAATTGTTTGCGAGACTGGATTTGTGAACGATGACCTTGAGCTAACTCATAACGACGTTCAACTTCGAACGAACCATTCGTGCAGCCATATGCAATTAACCATTTCATCATTCTTACGCAGGAATGGTGGTGACTTCTTTGAACTTGTTGCCCTGCGGAAGACTCGAAGGTGGCCGAATCGCTCAAGCAATGTTTGGACGAAGTACCGCGACGTTGTTGTCGTTCGCCACATCCCTCCTCCTCTGCATCGGCGGTCTAAGCGGAAGTGTCCTCTGTTTGGCATGGGGATTGTTCGCCACCTTCTTCCGCGGCGGAGAAGAAATGCCGGCGAAAGACGAGATCACGCCACTGGGAGATAACAGGTTTGCATGGGGCATTGTTCTAGGCCTCATATGCTTCCTCACTCTTTTCCCCAACGGTGGCGGTACATTCTCCAACCCTTTCTTGAGTGATCCGTATTTCAGGGGCAATCTGTAGAAATAGGCCGTATGTATATATACCGTTGTACGTATTTTGATTACTTAACCACCTGCAATTGTACTGTATTTTTGTTTTGTTTCATGTAAATGGAAGTAAAGGAAAATACAAGCAAAATATCTTATTTTTAATAGAACACTAAATTAGTAAATTCAAAAAAAAAAGTAGGCTCAGTTGTCTAATTAATGTTATATCTGAATCTACTCTTCATGGAGCGCCTGTTCCTCTACTTTCAAAACAATGCACATGGTTGAGTACAGTTAAATAATTCAAAGAGTAGACCCCACTCACTTTTTTCTCAGAAATATTATTTTCTCTTTGGCTTTTTATTTATAGATGAAACGTGTAATAATCTTATTAAATCGGCGTGCTAAGTTCAGCTTTTTCATGTATTCTTCGGGAGAACAAATTGCAATGTATGTCTTGTTCCTATTGCACTTGCCCGTTAACGTGAAGGTTTTGAGAAATTTAAGGATCAATTATCTATTTGGTGCCCTATTTATTCATGTGCTTTTGTTTTAGCCATTCAATTATTATTTTTGATAAAATTATAACATTATGATTTGCTTTTTGTTTTGGCATTTCATTATTAAGTTGGGTAAAGCAGTCCGTCTTTCAAGTATAGAATATTATTTTATTGAGTCGACAAGAAGTTACAAAATCATCTTCTGATTCTAAGGCGTTTTATTGAATCTTTCAACTATTAAAAGTTATAAAATTATTATTTGACTATTCATATTTTTCAAATTCATCCCTTTTGGTTAATAATGATGGTCGTTTGAACTGGATGTTAACATACTATATGTAATATGATAGTCAATTGAGATTTTAAGATCATATTTTTTTTCATATCCTAGTAAGGGGTTGTTTGTTTACTTCAGAATGATTAAGTGCTGAATGATTCAAATGTTGAATGATTCAGAGGCTCTGTATGAATTAGCTCTGAATGTGACATGCTGTTTGATAATGGCTCTGAATCATTCAGAGGTGCGAAACAAACACGCTAAATGTTGAACGATTAAACATTCAACGCTGAATGGTTCCATTCAGAGCCAAACAAAGAACCCCTAAGTTAACGTTTAGTTTGGACTATCAATTATTTTAATGAAAAATGATAAATTTGGAATATATGAATAGTCGAATGATCATTTTGTAACTTTAACAGTCAGATGATTCAACAAATCAACACTTTATAGTCGAGAAACTAGTCATTTGAGATTTTAAGATCATATTTTTTCATATCCCAGTGAGTAAGTTAACGTTTAGTTTGGACTATCAATTATTTTAATAAAAAATGATAAATTTAGAACATATGAATAGTCGAGTGATCATTTTGTAACTTTAATAGTCAGAGGATTCAACAAATCAACACCTTATAGTCGATAAACTTTTAATAATCGAAAGACTCAATAAAGTAATATCCTATAGTCGGATACTATTTATATACTTTACACCATTAGGTTTGACATTAATTTAATGAAAATGATGATGTGATATTGTATAATAATAATTTTAGTCATCAAAACTTATATATTTTATAAAATTGATCTTAATTTTAAATAATGCAGTATCTAAAAATTCTATCAATTTGGTTTAATAAAGAACATAAAAACTATGAAAAAATAGTTATCAATATTTTACTATTTTTCGAAATGAATTTTTTAAATAAATAATTAATTTCTTTTTGAAATCTCAAAATTCCTCAATACTCATCCTCAAAATTGTCGTAGTCCGGTTGTTCAGGCAGCTTCGTCAACTTTTTACGTCGGTTGCACATCCCTTGTCAGTCTTATCGCGTCGTTCATGCATTACAATTATGAATTCAATCTCATTTTCTCATAATTTTTTCTCGATTTAAAAAATTAGATTCCATTTGTTAGTTTTTGACATACGATTGGAAGTTGGGGCCAACAGACAGAACAAGTGAGAATGACAAACGGAGAGAGAGAGAATTGACGATGAACATGTGATGCCCAAAAGGGGTGTGATTTGCATAAGAGCGACGATGGCGACATATGAATAGAGGATGCAAGGTTGCGGTGAATAAAATTACGATGAGAGTTTAAAAAAATCATCGTATGAGTAGCAAAGTGAATACGATATTGTAAGGGGATGACTATGAAATTTAAGGCTGACGAAATTGAAAAAGAGGCGAAGGAATGATGAATAATGACGTGAAGATAACAAGTTTAAGAATAATTTTGAAACAATTCGATAAATAGATTATTTTATAACAATTTGTTAATTTTTAATGATTATTTCTAACTATTTCAGAAGTCTATTAACCATTTTGAAATGTTTGAAAGATCATTTTTAAACAATTCACTGACCTCTGATATCCTTTACCCAAATGTATTATTTATCTTTTCAAATTATAATTAAAACCTAAAAAGAAAAACTTAGGTCGATGATGTCAAGCCAGCCTGGCGGTAACAATTTGAAATTCGAAAATGCCAACTAACAGTGGTTAAGAAAACAAAACCACTTCCCCATTATAAATAAGCTTATCCACCCCGTCTTCCTCCACATTTCCATCATATTGTCTCTCCCAAAGGTGTCTTCATAAACGCCTCTGATTTAATTCTTCTCTCTGATTCATATATATTTTTTTTCATAAGTTTTCTTAAGCGAAAATGAGAGAGTGCATCTCAGTTCACATTGGTCAGGCTGGTATTCAGGTTGGAAACGCCTGCTGGGAGCTTTACTGTCTCGAGCACGGTATTCAGGTATTTTTTTTATCTATTGTTTTGAGATTAGATGCTAAATCTTCGTTGCTTTTTCTTTTTGACTCGGATCTGCTTGCCATTGTACTTGATGTGAGTGTATTTTAGTTTCATTTCGTTCAGATCTGTGTTTTCAGCCTTTAAATCTAATGCTATGCTTATTTTTAATCTTTTTGTCCTTTTCATCTGCTTAGATTCGTTAACTTTTTTATGTATTTGGTTGATAATCCGTTAAATCTGAGAATGCGTTGGTCTTCGTTACTCGTGTTTTGTTTTATCATCTGTTAAGCTATGTATTCTATCAGATCTGGCTAACATATGTTTGAATCAGTGAATATTAAGTATTATTTTCTTTAAATTAACATTAACTTCTATTTTCCCCTAAAGTTGTTTATATGTAAAGCATTTCGAGTGTTAGTTATTTCCCAGATCCATTAGAAGCTTTATTTTATCAGATCTAGTTAATCTCTATTCGGATCTTTAAAATTTAAGTGGTTTCTGTTTCAGATCTGGATGATAATTGTTAATTTCGAAGTGTTAGTTAATTTCCAGTTCCATGCGGAGCTTTATTCATCTATTGATGTTTAGTTTTGGGATCTAAGTTTAGTTCACTGAATAACGAGTGATTGCATTTCTGGATTGAACAGCCCGATGGCCAGATGCCGAGCGATAAAACTGTTGGTGGAGGTGATGATGCTTTCAACACCTTTTTCAGTGAAACTGGAGCTGGGAAGCACGTCCCTCGTGCTGTTTTTGTGGATCTTGAGCCCACCGTTATCGATGAAGTGAGGACTGGTGCTTACCGTCAGCTTTTCCACCCAGAGCAACTCATCAGCGGCAAGGAAGATGCAGCCAACAACTTTGCCCGTGGCCACTACACCAGTACATTCTTTCAACCTAATTTCATTGCTTTATTTGCCAGGAAGTTTTACCTGTTTTTTGTAATGTATCTAAAATCTTTTGTTTCAGTTGGCAAGGAAATTGTTGATCTGTGTTTGGACCGCATAAGGAAGCTGGCTGATAACTGTACTGGTCTTCAAGGGTTCCTTGTTTTCAATGCTGTCGGAGGGGGCACTGGATCTGGTCTTGGTTCGCTTCTTTTGGAGCGTTTGTCTGTCGATTACGGCAAGAAATCCAAGCTGGGTTTCACTGTGTACCCTTCTCCTCAGGTTTCCACCTCCGTTGTTGAGCCATACAACAGTGTCCTCTCGACTCACTCCCTTTTGGAGCACACTGATGTTTCTGTTCTCCTTGACAATGAGGCAATCTATGACATTTGCAGGCGCTCTCTTGACATCGAGCGCCCCACCTACACCAATCTTAACCGCCTTGTCTCTCAGGTATAAACCTGGCCTCAATATTAATTTGATTTGGTCATTAAGTTAACAATTTTGGTTTAGTATGTGATATCTTTCCGTTGTAATTCAGGTGATTTCCTCCTTGACTGCCTCACTTAGGTTCGATGGTGCCTTGAACGTTGATGTGAACGAATTCCAAACCAATTTGGTCCCATACCCAAGGATCCACTTCATGCTTTCTTCATATGCGCCTGTCATCTCCGCGGAGAAAGCTTATCATGAGCAGCTCTCCGTTGCTGAAATCACCAACAGCGCCTTTGAGCCATCGTCTATGATGGCCAAGTGTGATCCACGCCACGGAAAATACATGGCATGCTGTTTGATGTACCGTGGTGATGTTGTCCCTAAGGACGTCAATGCTGCTGTTACAACCATCAAGACCAAGCGCACCATTCAGTTTGTTGACTGGTGCCCGACCGGATTCAAGTGCGGTATCAACTACCAGCCACCCAGTGTTGTTCCTGGCGGCGACCTTGCTAAGGTCCAGAGAGCTGTGTGCATGATTTCGAACTCAACCAGTGTTGCTGAAGTGTTCTCTCGTATCGACCATAAGTTCGATCTCATGTATGCCAAGCGTGCCTTTGTGCACTGGTATGTTGGTGAGGGTATGGAAGAAGGAGAATTCTCGGAGGCTCGTGAGGATTTGGCTGCATTGGAGAAGGATTATGAAGAAGTGGGTGCGGAGTCCGGTGAGAATGATGAGGATGGGGACGAGGAGTATTAAATGAATTTTCTATCATATGTGTTTTGTTTGTTTGCTTCTGTGAGCTTCGAATTATTTGAAGCTTGTTTAGTATTGTATGTTTCTTTTTGAAACTTGAATCTGAATCATGATGTTGTTTTATATAATTTTTAAAGGCATGAGTGTAGCAGCGCGACGCATGGGGATGATAATATTAAACATAAACATGCATTAAAGCAAAATTATTAATTATTAAAAAACTATGTTGACAAATAATACAAGCACGAGAATGAGAAAGAGTTATGCACTAGTACACGATTCGTATAGTCGGTGCTCTCCTTTATTTTGTTCTTT